GAGTTCCCCTGTAGAGCGTCCAAACATCTATCAGCACAGGCACTGAAGTGTGATAGACTCCATTCTTCTGGCCTAAAATAACATGCTAAAGCTCCAAAGTGAGAGGAATGAGCAACAGGAGCTGAACCAGCACAGCAGATAAGTTTAAATCCAATAACAAAGATTTATGACTGAAATTGAAGGATGAAAATGAAAAAGTGTTATTAATATTATTAAAAGTACTCTGAGAGCTCTTGAGTGCATGAAACTGAGTAATAGAGGTAACACCACCCACCTGTGCTAGTCTACAGCGGGGGTGCACTGATACAGGAGCTGTGGGCCGATGTCGATACCCAATATTTTTGATGTAGGTATCCACAGATGCTGATACATACACATAGAGCTGGGCGATATGGAAAAAAATCTAGTATCACGATAAGTTTTCACGATAGACGATGCTGGTCCAATTCCCATATCACCCCTCGTCTACTTTGAGATACTTCCAATTCAGCAGATCTGATTGGCTGAGCCACATCAGAAACTGTCCTGAAGTACTTGATAAACATATGACCGCACACGTCAGGTGAATTCCGTCTGCACCAAGACATTAAAAACCATTGAACTGTGACTGCTATGCTGCTTGGCAGTCATAGGTTACCACAGTCTTTATTAATAATATGTTATTTATTGAAAGGGACCAAATTGGCTGATTAGCCACGTTACTTGCTACCTACTCTCCTGGGCAGAAAAATGGGCCAAGCCCAAAATAGAATGGTTTTTACTGCTAGTTAGAGTCCAGACTTAAACCCTGTAGAGAATATTTAGTCTCACAATAAACACAAACTGGCTCTGCAGTGTTTTTCTGACTCCTCTTTCTGTCTGCAAATGTACACACAAAACGTCAACGTTTAGAGAGTTACCTTCTCTGTTTGTTTAATGATTTCTGGTTGAGATCATTAAAAGCTTAATGTTTTGCCATGTTGGGCTTGGCCCAATATTTTTGGCCAGGAGTTTAAGTTGACTTAGTGGCTAACATTTATAGTACTGTCGATTAACTACCTCACACAAATGTTTACAGTGGCACAAAGTCTCAGAGAACACAGAGTACAGTATTAAAATGTTTGTAAGTGTTATATTAAACCTCCAGCAAAGCTTGAATAAATATGATAAAATGTGGCTTTAAAAACGCTGGTCAGACGTATCTGAGAACTGAGTGGGCGTGGCTAATGAGCAGCTTGATTGACAGCTCTGTGTCCAACACTCCTAGCCTGTTCTGCCTCAGAGCTAAAATCATTATCCAGCTTCTGTGTGACGCTGAGTGGATGAAAAACGTCACAGACAAACAGACGTGCAGACGGACGAAGCAACACAGGAAGGAATGAACAAACAACGGTGGTGTTGGATAAACGAATGAACAGATGACAGGCAGCCGCAGACAGGTGGTCTAGCTCACAAGCTTTTGGTTATGCTGGGCTAGCTAAGCTTCTCCGACTCTTAATGATTATTAATAATATATATATTTTTTGATCATTAATGTATTTAATATTGTATTTTGTTGCTGTTTTCTGAAATAAATAATCTACCTGAGGCTGATTTTACTGAGGTTAAGTAAGAGGGTTTCACTCGGCGTCACGCTGTGCGTTATAACTGATAGTAAAACCATGGTAGAGTCGTTGTAAAACACAGCCTCTCGTGGCTCATTGCTTTATTACATCTGACACAAGCAGCATCGCTGATCTCCTCCGCTGTGCTGTTCTGCAGGCTTGTCGGATCCTGGCTATCCCTCCGATTTTGACCGAGCAGTACCCTAAAGGTCTGGGCCCCACCGTCCCGGAGCTGGGGGCCGAGGGTCTGAAGGCACACACCAAAACATGCTTCTCCATGCTGACCGACACCGTAGAGGACGAGCTGAAAAGCCTGGGGAACCCAAAGCAGGCCATACTCTGTGGCATTGAGGCCCAAGCCTGCATCGCGGTATTCTCTCATATCATGTTCAGTAGAATACTCCAGCTTTTTTCAGCCTCATCTGCTGCTTCAGGAGCATAAGATTGATTTCCACTGAGAATCATTTTGAATCATTTGAATCATTTTGCCTATGTAGAACTCGAAGGGGAATTCCACAGATTTTTAAAATTTAAAAAATGACTTCTTTTTAACTCCTTGGAACCACCGGTGGTTCCAAAATGCATGTCATATTCTTCATAACTTTCATATTTCATAAGCTACATTCAAAAGGTGGGGGTCGTATGAGAGCTGTAACTGTCTTCTTTCCAGTCCAATAGATGGGTGATGTAGTTTTAAAACTTTATAATAAAAGAAGCTGAACTAACAATTTTTTTTCTACTGAAAACAAATCTGGGATATAAACTGGATCTCAGATGGCGTCTCTTCAGCGATCTGCTCTGTAAACATTATTTTTACAAAAAAATACAAAGAGCATCTAAGATTTTTGGCTTTCAGCAGTAAATTGTAAGCATATAGCAATATGTGTGATCATAAAAACACATGTTCTGTTCATTTGAGGGGAGCTTTTACCAAAAAAAACCCCAAAATTTGCAGTTATTTAATGCGGTTACTGAATAATTTGCCTTACAATTTGGGCATGAAAATTCAGAGGGAAAAACCAAAATATACCTACGAGCATAAGTGGATAAGTCAATTGTTAAGATGTGAACAAAGTCGTTCATATTGGTTTGCTGTACATCTGAGTAGTTGCCTCTTTCAGGGATGTGTAGTGGTGTGGGCGGAGTTTTCACAGGCTCCGCCTTATCGTCATGGATATTAGAAAACCTCAGGGAAAACAAAAGTAACTGGAACTACTTTTTTCACAGTTTTTTTTCCTCCAAAATGGTGATATACTGTCACTGCCCAGAGTCCAAAAGTGTTCACTTCTATGACCTATGAATAACTCAGCTTGTTTGCATGGTAATCCATGTAGTTACTAATTATAAGCCTTAGTATGTAATAAGCCTGGGATTTTAAGAGGTTAATGTAAAAAAAAAAAACAACATAAAAAAATCAAACAGTAATTAATTGGGGCACGTGAAAAAGTTTGGACACCCTAATAAGACAGCCACTACCCCACTACTGTTAAAGTGCATTAAGCAGCTGCCCATTGACTTCCATTATAAGTGAGTTTTGAATCAGCAGGTTTTCGGTTCTTTTCTAAGTTCAGCAAAACGTGTTGAAATTACTGTCTGTGCTAATCAGATGCAGCAAACAAAGATTAGGTTGGAAAACTCTGGAATATTCCTTTAATGTGTGCTTGTGAAGGCCCAACACAGGAAGCCTGTAAATTAGCTGAGTGATTGTAACCTCTGCTGTGTCTCTGCAGTGCACAGCCTATGATCTGCTGGAGAGAGGGATGGAGGTGCACATTGTTGCAGACGCTGTTTCGTCTCGAAGGTAACTCTAAACTTACGGCTTCTCGTTACATAACTTAAACACAGGCTTCAGCACCCTCACATTAAAGATGGATGAGCTGACCGCGCAGTTTTCCCCTCAGTCAGACGGACCGCTTGTTTGCTCTGTCGCGGCTGAAGCAGAGCGGAGTGTTTCTCACCACCACAGAGGGAGTCCTCCTCCAGCTGGTGCAGGACGCAAAGCACCCCAACTTTAAAGAGGTACAGCGATATTAACAAACCACAGCAAATAATTATATTCATCTGCACAGCACATATTACTGCATAATCCTGCCTGATAGTGTCATAAATCTTCTGGATTAGATGTGTCAGGCATTAAATATACACTGATCAGGCATAACATTATGACCACCTCCTTGTTTCTACACTCATTGTCCATTTTATCAGCTCCACTTACTATATAGGTGCACTTTGTAGTTCTACAGTTACAGACTGTAGTCCATCTGTTTCTCTGATACTTTGTTAGCCCCCTTTTACCCTGTTCTTCAGTGGTCAGGACCCCCATGGACCCAGAGCAGGTGCTATTTGGGTGGTGGATCATTCTCAGCACTGCAGTAACACTGACGTGGTGGTGGTGTGTTAGTGTGTGTTGTGCTGGTCTGAGTGGATCAGACACAGCTGCTGGAGTTTTTAAACACCTCAGTGTCACTGCTGGACTGAGAATAGTCCACCAACCAAAAATATCCAGCCAACAGTGTCCTGTGGGCAGTGTCCTGTGACCACTGATGAAGGACTAGAGGATGACCAACACAAACTGTGCAGCAGCAGATGAGCTATCGTCTCTGACTTTACATCTACAGAGTGGACTGACAAGGTAGGAGTGTCTAATAGAGTGGACAGTGAGTGGACACAGTGTTTAAAAACTCCAGCAGCACTGCTGTGTCTGATCCACTCGTACCAGCACAACACTGTACCACTTCAACCTGGTATATTGAATGTAGCCTGAGTGTTTGAGTTTGACACCCCTGGTCTAAACTATTAACGAATGTCCTTCATTTCTGTGCGCAGATCCAGAAGCTGCTGGCCCATCCTTCTCCAGACACCGGCCTCCTGGCCTTCTTCAGCTCGCTGTAGGAGTGCACGCACTACACAGCAGGACGCAGCATTATCAGTTAGTGCTGCACCTTATCACAGTATGCAAATGAGCCCTGGGTTTTACTGTGAGTCGTGAGCGTCCTGACCAATCACAGCTCAGGATGAGTTTCTGTGAACAACAGTGAACATAAATGTAAATCATTTTACTCAAATGTAATGCAGGTCAGTCTTCAATCAGGTCACATCCAGTGTGATTGTATTGCTTCATATCATAATCACAACTGTTTTGGTCTCTATTGTGCACTAATATCCATTTATCTGTATTAAATTAAGTTTCTTTTTGAACAAGTGTCCTGTTTCAGTTGATCGTATAGAAGATGACATCAAACAACTGCATTCTCGAATGCACTGCATTGCGTATTGTATATGCATTGTTAATAATACAGTAATAAATAGATCAAACAAATGTCTCCAGATATGTGATGCTATTTGTCATTAGGTTTCACACAATGTCTGAATGTCTTCAGAGTGGCCTGCTGTTCTAGTGGTGGTGATAGGAACCAGACGTCCACCTCTCTGAAAGCTCCCTCACAGAAAGTTATTACACAGAATGGTTATAAATTCACAGTCTGAGACGTTGTTTACGATGGTTCTGAGTAGATTTCGGCCTACAAATCCATTCTTGGTGGAGGGATACGTAATATGCAGGGCGCTGTGAGGCAAAATTGCACCCCCCCCCAAAAAAAAACATATTATTTCTCACTATTGTACTATCAACAACATTCCATATGAAAACTACCAAAGCTCAGAAGACACGTGTAGGCTCGCTGGCGGTTTTGGACGTTGAATAAAATGGATATATTGGTGTTGTAGTCATGGAGACGCCTGGTTCCTATCACCACCACTGTACAATGAACTGTTTCACGTCTAACCACTCCGTGCAGAAATTTTAGGAAAATGGGTGGGGTTGCCCTTCCACTTCAGCTGTATGAGGAAGCAGAAACTCCGAGAAGTGGGAGGGGAGAGAGGGCAGGAGAAAAAAAAGAGGAGTGGCAGAAGAAAGAGAGGAAGAGGTCAGACAGGAGGGTGGAGAGTGTGACGCTTGGTCAGAGAAAGGGAGGAGAGAGAGAGAGAGAGAGAGAGAAAGGAAGAACTTTTCCGACACTTTTTTTTCTCCCCCTCCTTTTCGGTTTAAGCAGATATCGCACGGAAGAGAGCGTAAAGCAAACGAAAGCTGAGGAGAGCAGTTTGGATGGGAGGTGAAGGAGGTGAAAGAGGAAGAGAGAGAGAGAGGGGGGGAGAGAGAGAGAGAGCGAAGCACAAACAAACCGCTGAGCAGCGCAGCAGATGACAGCATTAAAAATTGACACAGTGTGAAGCCTGGGGCCTGTTGACAGGAGAGAGGTAGGCTGTATGTGTGTGTGTGTCTCTCTCTCTCTCTCTCTCTCTCACTAATTACATCTGAGTCTATCTGGAAAGAATGTAAAAGTATCCAACCTCCTGTAGAAGCAGCACAGAGTTTCTACAAACTTTGGTCTGCTTTGTTTTAAGGTTTCCTCTGTGGCTCTATTTTTAGCCGTGGAGCCTCTATCTGTCTCTGCATCAGCCAGTTTAGTGCTCAGCACTTTGCAGATGTGACTGTATGAGTTTCATTCATTACACTGATTGGTCATCATCCAGGGGGACAGGAGAGGGTCTCCATAGATGATACACACTTTTAAAATAGTGCTGCAACTGTATACACAGCAAAAATGAGATCTTGGCAGGTGAAACTAACCTAAATTTAGTCTAATATTTCTCATTTCAAGATTGCTATGTGAACTTTTTAATTAACCTCTTAACCTCTTTAATGGCCAGGGCCCACCAGCAGGCCCAGGGTTTTACTACACACTTCTATGACCTAGAAATAACAGCCAGTTTGCACTGAAGTCCCTTGTAGTCAGTGGATAATAAGCCTTAGTATGTAATAAGCCTGAGATTTTAAGGGTATTAAGCCATTTTCTAAGTGAACTGATCTCACTGTATTGGTAGATCATATAAGAATGCTGTTTTAGTGGTGGTGATAGGAACCAGACGTCCACCTCTAAAAGCTCCCTCACAGAAAGTTTTACGTGAAATGGTTATGAATTCACTGCCTGATGTCTGAGACACTGTTTACGATAGTTTTGAGTAGATTTCGGTCTACGAATCCATTCATGGTGGAGGGATACATAATATGCAGCGTGCTATGAGACAAAATAGTCCCCAAAAATGTATTATTCCTCACTATTTTACCATCATCAACCTTCCATATAAAAACTGTAAAAGCTTAGAGGACACATGTAGGTTCACTGGTGGTTTTGGATCGTAAATACAATGTCTGTATTTGTGTTGTAGTCATGGCTCAGTTTTATTCATGGTCAGGTTTTATTACACACTTCTATAACCTATGAATAGCTCAGCCAGTTTGCATTGAAGTCCTTGTAGTTACTGAATAATAAGCCTTAGTATGTAATAAGCCTGAGATTTTAAGGGTATTAAGCCATTTTCTAAGTGAAAAGATGTCACTGTATTGGCAGCTCATATAAGAAAGCTGTTTTAGTGGTGGTGATAGGAACCAGAGTCCACCTCTAAAAGCTCCCTCACAGAAAGTTATTACATGAAATGGTTATTAATACGCTGCCTTTCCGGCCTTAAAATCCATGTATGGTGGAGGGATAGTGCAGGGTGTTGTGTGGCAAAATAGTCCCCAAAGAAAACTTATTTTTTCAGATTTTCTGCTATTTTACCTTTATAAACATTCCATATAAAACTATAAAAGCTCAGAGGACTCGTGTGGGTTCACTGGCGGTTTTGGATCGTAAATAAAATGGTGTTGTAGTCATGGCTCAGTTTTATTCATGGTCATAATATTTCTCATTTTGAGATTGCTATAAGAACTTTATAAGATCATAACTTATTTCTAGACATTTTAATCAACCTCTTTACCTCTTAAATGGCCCAGGCCACCAGCAGGCGCAAGGTTTTACTACACACTTCTGTAACCTAAGAATAGCTCAGCCAGTTTGCATTAGTTTGCATGAGTCCCTGTAGTTACTGAATAATAAGACTTAGTATGTAATAAGTGTAATATAATTGTATTAAGCAACTTTACTAAGTGAACTGATCTCACTGTATTGGTAGATCATATAAGAACCTGCTGTTCTAGTGGTGGTGACAGGAACCAGACGTCCACCTCTAAAAGCTCCCTCACAGAAAGTTTTACGTGAAATGGTTATGAATTCACTGCCTGATGTCTGAGACACTGTTTACGATAGTTTTGAGTAGATTTCGGCCTACAAATCCATTCTTGGTGGAGGGATACATAATATGCAGGGCGCTGTGAGGCAAAATAGTCCCCAAAATGTATTATTCCTCACTATTTTACCATCATCAACATTCCATATAAAAACTGTAAAAGCTTAGAGGACACATGTAGGTTCACTGGTGGTTTTGGATCGTAAATACAATGTCTGTATTTGTGTTGTAGTCATGGCTCAGTTTTATTCATGGTCAGGTTTTATTACACACTTCTATAACCTATGAATAGCTCAGCCAGTTTGCATTGAAGTCCTTGTAGTTACTGAATAATAAGCCTTAGTATGTAATAAGCCTGAGATTATAAGGAAAATCTGGAATCTGTTAGTAAAGCAGAAAGTTATGAGTAATGAGATAATTATTTTGAAAAGTAATTAGTAACTGTTGAGTAATTACACTTCAAGATTGTTCTTCAAGGGTTCTTTAGTAAAGGGAATAGTTGTATTTAGATTCATGAATTCTATATAAAACCATTTCATGCTTAAATGCTTCTTTACATGGTGAAGTGTTCTTCAGACTGATGGAGAACATGTCTATGGTTTCATATAGAACCTTATTGAAAATGCTTCTGTATAGCACCAAAAATGGTTCTTGTATTGTTGCAATGTCAATCTTGTAACACTAGAAGAGCCTTTTTTGGTGCTACATAGAACCGTATACTGAAGAACCATAAGTCTGAAGAACCATTTCACCATGCATAGAACCATTTAGGCATGAAATAGAACTCATAGTTCTAAATAGAAGCATTCCCCTTTATTAAAGAACCCTAAAGAACTGCCTTTTTTTAAGAGTGTAGCTCAACACTGAAGCTCTCTGTATTAACATTATCACTACAACCTTAAAAAGATGGTTCTTTCTGGGTTCTTTAGTAGAGGAAATGGTTTTGTTTAGATGCAGGAGTTCTATATAGAACCAACTCGTGCTTAAATGGTTCTTTGCATTGTGAAATGTTTTTTTTTAAACTGATGGTTAATGTGTTGTATATTGTTCTGTATAGCATCAAAAAGGGTTCTGCTATTGTTACGACGTCAAGCTTGTAACAGTAGAAGAACCCTTTTTGGTACTGTATAGAACCATTTTCAAAAAGGTTCCTAATAGAACCATATACAACACATTCTTCATCGATCTGAAGAACCATTTCAACATGCAGAGAACCATGTAAGCATGAAATGGTTCTGTAGGAACTCATGGTTCTCAGTAGAACTGTTGTCTTTACTAAAAACCCTTGAAGAATCGTCTTTTTAAGACTTGACATGCCTATTATGTTCTAAAACAAACATCTTGTGTCATGTTTGGGAACCTTTCTGTATCACTTCTGAAATGTGGCTAAAGCTTCAGTCACCATGTCTATGTAAGCTGTTATTTTCCCCTTTGTATGTTGTTTGTGTGTTGAATGTTGAAAGAAACTTAATAAATAATAAACATATTATTAAAAAAAGAACCATATAGAACCAACACATTCTTCATCAATCTGAAGAACAATTTCACCATGCAGAGTACCATTTAAGCATGAACAGAACCGTTCCTTTTACTAAAGAACCCTTGAAGAACCATCTTTTCAGGTGTGTAGCAGTACGTACGGTCTGCGGCCGTTGTGCAGCACTGAAAATACGAAGTTAGCTTCGGGAGTGCAGCAACAAATTATTGATTTATTTGTTTATTTTTTGGTTTGCTCACTATTTTTGCATTTCTTTGCCACACTTGTAAAAGTTTATTTGAGTTTATTTTTATTTTACTCTCAACACCCAGAAATTCACACCAAAGGAAACTCCTCTTCATTATGTAGAGCAGAGGTGTCCAGTCCCGGTCCTGGAGATCTACCACACGTGGCTGTAATGTTCAGATGCCCCTTGAAGGCCTTTGTTACCTGGATCAGGTGTGTTAGATTAGGGCTGGAGATAAACTCTGCAGGGTGACAGATCTCCAGGGCCAGGATTGAGCACCACTGATGTAGATTATTGCTTAGCTACCTTTTCCATAAGAGTCTTTACGCAGTTGAGTCATCACGTAACATCACGGAATAGTGAGGCTGAGGCTGCATTAAAATGACTGAAAATAATCAGCGAGAATAACAGCAGGTTTTAAGATGTGCATATATATGTATATATGTATGTGTCCACACACCGATCAGGCATAACATTATGACCACCTCCTTGTTTCTATGCTCATTGTCCATTTTATCAGCTCCACTTACTATATAGGTGTAGATGTAAAGTCAGAGACGATAGCTCATCTGCTGCTGCACAGTTTCTGTTGATCATCCTCTAGTCCTTCATCAGTGGTCACAGGACGCTGTTGGCTGGATGTTTTTGGTTGGTGGACTATTCTCAGTCCAGCAGTGACACTGAGGTGTTTAAAAACTCCAGCAGCACTGCTGTGTCTGATCCACTCAGACCAGCACAACACACACTAACACACCACCACCACGTCAGTGTTACTGCTGAGAATCAAATGTAAAAAATGAACACAATAAAATTAATAAGCCAGCATTAATTAAGTTAATTAAGTTTTAATAAATTTTTATAAATACAGTTAATAAGTCAGCATTAATAAAGTTAATATTTACCTTAATTTTAATAAAGTTAACTATATTTAACATTATTTTAACAAGTCAGAATTAATAAAGTTAATGATATTTATGTTAACATTAATAAAGTTACCAAGTTAGCATTATTAATAATACTGCAAATAAATGTAATAAAACATCCAGAATGAACTTCTAATGAAGTTACTATTGAGACTAAAGTTATAATAAAATACTATGTGAATAGAATGTATTGTATCAACATCAGTATTGCCAGGTGAAGTGTGAGTATAATAAAGGCAGTGTCTGCTTCGCTCATGTGGAAACACTGTATATGTTAATTTAAGTGTACACTGCTTTGTTTGGACTGAAGTGCCCTCTTAACGCCCTCTTCCTCTCTGCACTGCAGCCACTTCCTCCAGCATGACGTCAGAACTGGACTCCAGTTTGACCAGCATCGACTGGCTCCCTCAGCTGGGCGTCAGCACGCTGCGCTCCGGCAAGGAGAGAGGAGAGAGGAAGAGAGAGCGGGCCAGAGAGAGAGATACAGCCGCCCCTCCGTCCATCCCTTCCTCCTCCCCTCCGCCCGGCTCCAAAGGGAAGCCTCCGCACAGCTACGCCACCCTCATCGCCATGGCGATCAGCTCCGCCCCTGAGAGGAAGCTGAGTCTGAACGACATTTACACCTGGATCAGTGACACATTCCCTTATTACAACAGAGCAGGACGAGGCTGGAAGGTAAAGGAGGAAAGTCACGTACAGGTGTATGCAAAAGTTTGTGCACCCCTGGTCAAATGATGTGTCTTGTTGATTTTCTAAGTGGAAATAAGCGAACATGCTTGAATATGGCATTTGTCTCTTTTTTCTGCACTCACTGTCCACTTTATCAGCTCCACTGACCATATAGTTTCGCTGCTGGCTGGATATTTTTGGTTGGTGGACTATTCTCAGTCCAGCAGCGACACTGAGGTGTTTAAAAACTCCAGCAGCACTGCTGTGTCTGATCCACTCAGACCAGCGCAACACACACTAACACACCACCACCACATCAGTGTTACTGCAGTGCTGAGAATGACCCACCACCCAAATAGTACCTGCTCTGTGAGGGTCCATGGGGGTCCTGACCACTGAAGAACAGGGTAAAAGGGGGCTAACAAAGTATCAGAGAGACAGATGCACTACAGTCTGTAACTGTAGAACTACAAAGTGCACCTATATAGTAAGTGGAGCTGATAAAATGGACAATGAGTGTAGAAACAAGGAGGTGGTCATAGTGATATGCCTGATCAGTGTATAATAAAATATACTAAAACCCTATAAATATAACGTGCAGTACGAGAATAATAAGTAAAATCGCATGAATATTATGCAGGTGTCAATGCAGTGGTACATGTGACATCAATGAACTGAGTGGCTAAACACTATAAAGGGTAACATCTGTTAATAGTTGAATATGGGTGTATAGACAAGTGGCAGTGCAGTAAAGGTAAAGAGTGGACACACTAAACACAAATTTAATATCTGATATTCTGTTTAATTTTTGGAGCTGTTAAATGTTTCTTGATTTTGTTGTGCCTCTTAATGGCCATTCTGACTGGAGATGAAATAAAGGAAGGGTGGTCTGACTTTTAAAAATGTATATGCTGTATATATCATCATTTTGTACATTTATCTGGTTTTCTCGAATTGAATAGCTACTTCCAACTTTTGGGTGGAATTTGCTGGAATCCAAAATCTGACTCATTCCAAACGTCTCACTGTTTCTATATTTCCTGTGCAGAATTCAATTCGACACAATCTCTCCCTGAATAAATGCTTCCGGAAAATTCCAAGACCGCAGAGCGACCCTGGAAAGGTGAAGTTATTCATTACATAATGTGAGATAGGAAAAATAATCACTGGTTTGAGACAGTGTAAACTCTCAAGGGCACATTATGTCACATATTTGGCATAATAAAGAGAGACGTGGAAACCATATGTAATGTTTAAAGGGTGTGAGTCAGTGGGTGTTTTTTCATGTTACATATCAGTTGAGGTTTCAGTTTTTATCATTAGCCTACATAAAATAGCCTACATACTAGCAGTATGGTCACCACAAAGCTCAAAGCATTGTGGAAACCACCTTCAACAATTATGCATCAGGTAAGACAACGGAACTGGCATGGTGGCCTGCTAATATTACATTTCCTGAGTGAGGGGAAGTCCAGTTCTTGTTTGCACACTTTCAAAACTGTCCGTTTCAGTGAAGCATTCACTAAACAGCCTGAGTAGACTGATAAATCAATGTGATCAGTTATTAATCTCAGTGTCACTGAACTCTGCTAAAGCCTGAGTAGACTGATAAATCAATGTGTGTTCTGCCATTACTTGTTAGCGACTTAAGCCTCGTAGCCTGAAGCTAACTTCAGACACCAAACATCTCTTGGCTGATCGGTTCGAACACAATTGTGTCCCCCCATTTTATAGCCAAACTAAAAGCTCTTTCGGTCTCTTTTCCAGGGTTCTTATTGGACCATGGATGGATCACCTGACCAACTTCAGGCCAGAGGAGTTAAGCGACCATATTCTACAGACGAGGAGATGGTACAGCTTTCAGGCCTTTCTCATATTTTTAATGAGGGAATAAACACAGGTGACGTTAGCGTTTTTTCCTCTTTTATTCCTCCAGATTCCTGAAAAAACTCCATTTACTGAAGACAAAGTACATGTCAGTCAAGCAGAGCCCCTCCTACTTCCTCCAGACATCAAAACTACTCTGTCCCCGCCTCCCTGCAAGGTACACAATATCCCTGCTTTTGTTTTCTGTATTGTCTGCTGCGCTTAAAGTGATAGTTCACAGTTATAGGCCAAACATACAGATGTCAGTTTACAGCCACCAGTTTAACATTGGTCAACTAATATTCAAAAAATAGACCAAATGCAGCTTTCAAGATGGATACTGCTACTGTTTTACCAGGGGTCCAGTAGTTACAGAAAATTTCCTCAAGCAAACATCCAGAACATCATAATGTCTAACTTGCACTATGATTCAGTGCCATATAGTCTATACTGAAGTAGCTGAGTAGTATCAACATCATACGTAGTCAACAACTGAATGTCGAGTCAAATAAAGTACAATTCAGTAACATTTCAGCAACATTTATGGTCAGTTTTCTCTTTTTAGAGCACGACGTGTGAAATAACTTCCCTCTGACTCACTTTCTTCTCTGACTGCTGTTTCTCGCCTCGTCCCTCCCCTGTGTGTGCGTCACTCTCTCGAGTCTCAGTGCTCATCCTAATGCACAGATCTGATTGGCTGAGTAGCGTCAAGTGTGATATTTACAACACATGCGATTGGTCTGTGAGTCTCCCGGGCCACTAAAGTGGTACTATAAAGGCTAGAAAAGTTATGCCGATAAAAAAGGACCACCCTGTCGAAATGAAATAATTCTCCATAGTTTATCGGTTATAGGTCCAGGTCCACATAGGACAGCGTCTGGGTCCGGACTCGGACCGCGGTCCGCCTGTTAGTGACCTCTGCTATATACTTTTGTCCATATAGAGTTAGAAACCACATGAGTCTATAGTGAGTTACAGCATGAGTTATAACACGTGTTATAACATGAATTCAGGTCAATCTGATTTATACGGCTCCCCTTCCGCTCCTTACTCCAAAAGTAATTGATCAGATTTTTTGCTGAGCAGGGATTCCAAATAAACTTCCACTAATGCTGTCTTTCCCCCTGCAGCGCCCCCCTGCCCCGTTACACACGGCTACCGCCGCCTCTTTCCCAGCGGCTGAACAGCCGCTGCGCTTCTCCTTCAGCGACCTGAACATGCCGGACCTCTACACCTCCTTTCAGTCGCTCTGTCGCTCCATGAGAGAGAGAGTCACCTCGCAGTGTAAGTGTTAAAACTTCATCTGTTCTTCATTAGCATTTCTGTTTTGGGTCTTCTGGGCAGTGAGAGTTTCTGTTCTCCAAACGTCTCTTAGTTCTGTCTCTACTTATATCAGTTAAACTGCTTTCAATTTACTGGATTCAGCTGTTTAGGTTGAATAAAGTATATAACACAATTGCTGTCTTCCAGTTTACTTCGTTTTGCTGATGTATTTTATTCTAAGGGTGTAACGAAACACTGTCACATCGTGACATTGCAATAAATATCAAATTGTGAACCCAGTATCAAGAATCAAGACCGATCGTGGGGTGGGTGTATCGTTACGTGTTTTTTTTTAATTGAAGTACAAATTTTTCAAAATAAGTGAAAAAACAGGAGTTTCTGAAAATGGAGTTCATAAAAAGATTGAAAGCTACAGAGAAAACGGGCCTCCTAACAACCACCTGGAAGACCTGATAGACACCAAAACTGCCCCCATCTGATAAACAGCACTTAAAGCTTTCATCTTTGAGAGAGAGGAGAAAATCAAGCTGCTTCAGATCTGAAAACATCCACAGGTGTTTCTGTCCATCCTTCCACTGTGAGAAGACGACTCAGCGCTGTGGGTCTGAAAGGATGTGTAGCTGTTCAAGAAGAACCTCACTGAGAAAAGGAGACGGACACATCAAACAAAGAAGCTGAACGATGGACTGACCACCCCAGAGTCCAGACCTCAACATCACTGAATGTGTTTGATTACATCAGAAAATGATCAACCAGCTTCCAAGACTGAACTTTGGAGGTGTGTCTGCAGATTCTTTGAGGAACTGAAAGTGAGTCTCCTGAAAAGAATGGAAGCTGAAATAAAGGTGAAGAGTGGACACACTGTTTTGACAGGAAAATGAATGAATGAAAGGTGGTAAAAGATGTTTGCACATTTTAGAAACTAAAGTAAATTCTGCGCTTTTTTTTCACTTAAGTGCACTTTTTTAGGTGCTCGTTAAGTGCATTTTTAAATCTCTCCGGTTTCTGTTTACGAAAGTGATGGTGATTTCTCTCTCTCTCTTGCAGCGGACGCTCCAATTACTCTCGGAATACCCCATGACATCACGCCGCTCCACACACCGACCCTGCCACCTCTGTCTCCTCACCCCTGCCCCAACACTAACCTAAATCCACACCTACACTCCTCCCCCACTGCTAACAGCACCAACCCCGCCCCCAACACTAACCCAAACCCACCTTCCGCCCTCATCGCCAACAGCAGCACCATCCTCGCCCCCAACACTAACCCAAACCCACCTTCCGCCCTCATCGCCAATAGCAGCACTGTCCCCGCCCCCAACACTAACCCAAACCCACCTTCCGCCCTCATCGCATAGCACTGTCCCCGCCCCCAACACTAACCCAAACCCACACTCCGCCCCCACTGCCAACAGCACCATCCCCGCCCCCAACACTAACCCAAACCCTCACTCCGCCCCCATTGCCAACAGCACCATCCCCGCCCCCAACACTAACCCAAACCCTCACTCCGCCCCCATTGCCAACAGCACCATCCCCGCCCCCAACACTAACCCTACTTTCTCTTCCAACCAAAACCCACAGATCAACTCTGAGCCTGACAGGCTGCTACATAACAACGGTAAGTAGACTAGCAACTCATTTATTCATCCATACGCTTCAGCTACGCCCACCACTTTCTGAAAGTGACCTTTTTTGGATTTCTGCATAATTCAGCAGCTGAGAGTGATTCAGAGAGGTTTGGTGTGAAATGGCTCAGATGTCTTTACAGTGGTGCTGATAGGAACCAGGGGTCGCCATGACTACAACAACACAAATATAGACATTTTATTTACTATCCAGAACCACCAGTGAACCTACATGTGTCCTGAGTTGATTATGATCAAATCCAGGAAAACAAAAACTAGGGACTATTAAAACACCCTGCATGTATCTCTTCATCTTAGGCTGGGCAATATGACCATATGTATCATTATCGCGATAAATTATGTCACAATACATTACAATATGCTTTTGTGAACATATTGTGGATATCGTCAGTACTTGAAGAACCAACCACACGTTTCAATATAAAGAGAGTAAAATTGGTGTCTTTTAGCTGGATTTAATGCCAAATATTAAATAAAAATAACTGTATTCAGAGTTTTTGATAGTATTGTAAGAAATTGTATATTAAGTGTAGCCCTACTGGTTCTTTCTCTGTTCCAACTGATGTCTGAAAAAATAAATATCATGACATATCGTGTATTATGAAGATTTCAAGTATCGTGATGTTTTTGCCATATCATTTTTTGTCAGTTCCTTAACAATGAGTGCATTTACATGCACTCAATAGCCCGATCATTATCAGATTTCTGAAGTTATCTGATTATTCAAGTGGTCATGTAAACAGCACATTCTGATTTCTTAGATCAGATTAAGATCTAGAACTCAGTTTAAGAAATCTGATAAAGAGGCTGGATTTGAGCTCAGCAATAGGGTTTTTTCCCCATTACTGAACTCTTACTCTGATTTCTTTCATTTTTCTCAGTCTGTGTATGAGTAAAAACAGAGCGCTGTCCCGGAAAGAGCAAGCAGCGTTTAACACAGCAAAACACTTTTGGAGTGACGCTGAAACCAACTAAATGCTTGAGGAAATTAAGGATTTAAATATTCGTCCGCTTTCCGCTTAAGTGGCTCAATGTTTTAAAAAAGGCACAGCATGACGTTTGAGTTGTACGTTTCGTTTACGTCACTTCTTCTTCTTCCCTTCCCTTCTACCTGGAGTTTCCCCATTATCTGATTACTCAAGTACATGTAAACCTGATCGGATTACTGACGAAATCTGATTTTCTGCAGGCATCGGATTATTAAGTGCATGTAAACACGCTCAATATTTTAGGCATCATTTGTTACTGTTTCATGTAGTAACTTTCTGTGAGGGAGCTTTTAGAGGTGGATGTCTGGTTCCTTTCACCAGCACTGAGAACAATTCTGACTTGGTAAGTCCTCTAGAACAGAGCGTTTCACACCAAACCACTCTGAATGACCCACTTTACATCTCAAACATTTAATTATGCAGAAATGTTGAAAAAATCAGAATCACATCTCTGCTTGCTTCCATACTTGCAGTCCAATTTTGTCTCTTTTGCCACTTTTTCAAAACATGATCTATTAAAAATGTTCTGAAAAGCTCTGGGAACACACAGACTGGTCGTTCTTCAGCATTAAACTCGTACCTGTAACACACTGGCCGCTGCAGCGCTGCTATGTGTGCCAGTTTGGTCAGATGTATCCGGCTAGGACACTGAATGTGGGCCAACTGTGGCTCAGCACAGCAGTACTGGCTCTATTCATGCTTCACTGGCTGTTTAATTATTAATGATAATGGACTGACTGGTAGAGTATCCTCTCATGCTTAAAATATATTTATTTAACAAAGTTTCTTGGGCTTCGTGTAATATCCTAAAACCACACTCAAGTTAAAGGATGGTTACATAATGAAATAATGACTCCCATAGAAGAAAAAAGTAAAATTTCTGCATAATTAATTGGTTAAAATATAAAGAGTCGTTCAGAGTGGTTTGGTGTGAAACGCTCTGTTTTAGAGAAACTTACCAAGTCAGAATTGTTCACAGTGGTGGTGATAGGAACCAGACGTCCACCTCCAAAAGCTCCCTTACAGAAAAGTATTATACAAAATGCTTTTGGAGAAAAAACAAAATGTTTCTTGCATCCATTCTGACCCTTGGTCAGCAGAAATAAAATCAAAGGCTGACTGCCTCAGCCTGGAAGCTTAAACTGGGCCACAGGTTGGATCTTCCAGCTGGACAATGATCCCAAACATGCCTCAAAATCAACACAAAAATGATTCTCTGACCACAGAATTGAGGTTTTGCCATGGCCACCCCAGTCTTCTGAACCTAATCCCCTTGGATATATATATACACATATATACACACACATATATGCACATATACATATATAAGCTCCCCGAACAAAAAATTAGTCACCTTACGTGTTTAAGGTGGTAGTAACTTCAGGCTCCTGCAGATGGCGCTGCACAAGGACGATCGGGCTATAAATACCTGCAGGATGTGCAACAGGATTCATAGATTGAGAAGAGGTGGTACAGTGAAGTGAATGTCTCATTCCATGTGTGGAAAATGGGTCGCAAAGCAGATGATAATGATTGGCAGAAAGGAGTGACTGCATTTGGGCACCAAAGGCCACAGTGTGAAGGAAGGAGCTGAATTTGCAGGTGTATCAAAGCGTACGGTCACATGGGTCGACCAGCAGTGGCAGAAATCCCAGTTTACAGGAAATTCTCGTCAGAACTGTGGCTGAAAGATGGAACTAACGGACAGGGACCGCCGGTGTGTTTCACGGCTTGTGAATAAAAATCGCTTTGCTTCCAGGCAGGAATTGCTTCTAGAAGTCAACGCAGGTTCTTCACAACCAATTTCTGAAAGAACACTCAGAAATCTGGCCAAACTGCGCAATTCTGAGATGCAAGAGTGGCTAAACATTGATGTCACCTACATCGACAAACTTGTCCATTCCAGGCCAAATCTAATCGCAGACGACGCTAACTTTTTTTGTCGGGTGAGCTTGTATGGAAATTATATGTGTATAATTTCCATATATATAAATTATCAGGACAAAAAACAGGATGGCTTGATTAAAACAGTGCACTTTGGGTTTATGTGGGAGCCACTTCAGCTGTCTGAAGTGAAATTATAATAATCAGATGTATTGCTGATAATGACCACTGTCTGCTGTTTCAAGTATATTCACCAAAATGGCTTTGCGTGGTACTGCAGTCGTGGCACAGGAATAAAAAGCATGGCCTTTTGTTTGTGTGGTCAGTTCAGATCCTCAAATAATAAAAGATTTCATTTGTGACTGATCTGTAAATATCTGGCCTGTTTTGCACCAAATTGTGAACCTGTTTCTCCCACATTTCATACTTCTTTGCTGTCATTATCTACAGCACTTGTAACCACAGAGTGGCAGACGTGCTCCAAGGTAATGTTTTTGTTTTTCCGCAGTCGTTCCTGCAGACTGGTTCAGCCATGCTGACTCGTTGAGAGAGAGTTTCAGGATTGCGAGCAGTCTGGACTGGGCCAACATTGATCTCACCAGCCATCCAGGTCAGTATCCACTGGTAGGGATTGATTGCATATTCAGTAATAAAAGCGCTGCATATTTGTTTTGCACTGCGGTCTTGTAGGGGTCGACAATATGACGATATATTATCAATATCATGATAAATGACATCACAATGTGCTCTTCTGAGAATGCGGTGGGTAAGATTTATACCAGTTACAGTGATCCTGTAAACGACAGCCCGTATACAGTGACAGTGTCAACCCATTATATATTTTCACCGTATCGCCCACCCTCACTGAGGTCTCGCTCACTTCCTCAGACCTGATAGAGAGCATGCGTCAGGCGGAGCTCTGCGACTGGGCGCTGGACCCGGCCCTCTTCACTTCGCTCTGCGACTCCCTCAACCGCTTCTTCACTCAGAAAGGCCTGATTGGCTCCTCCTCATCTGGCAGCCACCCCTCTCTGAGCCAGCTAGCTCAGCCTCATGCCAACATGCTGACAGCCGCTGCTCCGACTCTGGCTAGTTTAGCCCACCCGTCTCCGCTGAGCTTCCCGCCTCAGCTCCAGTCCTGCAGTGGTGGAGACCCTCTTCAGAGCCCCAGGAAAAGCCTGACCCCCCAGATTCAGATTCCACAGAGGAACCTCGAGAACCAGCCAGCCACCGGCCACCCTCTGCCTCCCAACGGTAAGACCATGTTAAAAACATTCAGCTTTCTGCTTACTGAGAACCTTCAGACGGATCATTCTTTAAATAATATGGAAATATGGAAAAGGTGTGCATGAAGATTCACATTATTCTACGGAGCCCCTAAGGGGCCGTGGTTAGTTAATAACATTGCATTCCCTCTCAAAATATATGCTCGTAGGCAAACGTAGGACCAGAGGTGCCCAGCGACACTGCCTACATTAGAGCTTTGTTTTCAGCATGGCTAACGTTAAAAGCTGTTTTCCCAGTTTGGCCAGTCTGTGCTGAGTTTATTCAGCTGTTGTTCTCTGCAGTCTCTGTAAATGTAGCTTCTACTGTACGAGGACCCTCGACCTCAGTCTCAGTTTGAGTCACTAACAGCAGAATCATGGTTGATTTTGAGAAGCGACACTATGTCTTTATATTTCAATACAAGATTAAAGGAAAATTCAATGAGCTGCTCCACCTCTGAGCTTAAGCACAGCACAGCTTTTACAAGCGAGGGAATGCAATGCATTAACTTTTTCTTTTACCACGGCCCCTTAAGAGCTCTGTATTATTCAAGATTATATGTATTCTAAACGTTTACATGCTTTGTTGATTTTCTACATGAAAATAAGTGAACACACCTTCTACAGTGAACACACTTTAATGCATGATTACTGTTTATCTGCGTTATTTGAACATTAATAATAATTTAAACACAGTGTGGGAAAAAAAGGAAACTGTGCAGAAGTCATGGCACATTTTATATTTGTTTAGTTTTATTTTTTCCAATATGTTAAACTCAGCAAATATGTAGAAACTGTGCTCTAAAATTTGCAGAAAATTGTAATATTTAAGTGCGTTTCCTGCAGACGATGTGTTTTAACTTATTTTCACTTAGAAAATCAACTAAATTTGCAATCCTGGGTTTTTCAAACTTTTGCAAACGTTTCCTCTTCCTTCACTGGTGAGTAAATGTCCTCTGCTGATCGCAGTTCTACATCCTCACCACCGGGGGCAGTGCGTGTGTGGTCTACCGTATGACTGCCTTTATATATACACTGGCCACTTTACTGGAAACACCACTCTAGCAGTGGGTAGGAGCCCCTTTGCTCTCAGAACAGCCTGAATTCTTCCTGATTATGGATTCAACAAGGAGCTGGAAACGATCTCTACTCTCTTAGAAAAGATGGTTCTTCAAGGGTTCTTTACTAAAGAAAATGGTTCTATATAGAACCATTAACACTCAAAGAACCCTTTGCCTGATTAAAGGGTTCTTTGCATTGTGAAACGGTTCTTCAGTTTAATGGAGAATGGGCTGCAGATGGTTCTATATAGCACCTTTTTGAAAATGGTTCTATATAGCACCAAAAAAGGGTTCTTCTGTTGTTACAAGCTCGACATCATAACCACAGTAGAACCGTAAGGTGTTATGTAGAAACATCTACATAAGCACATTCTCCATCAGTCTGAAGAACCCGTTCATGATGCAAAGAACCCTTTAATAATGCAAAGAGTTCTTTGAGTGTTAAGGGTTCTATATAGAACCATTTTCTTTGCTAAAGAATGAGCAGTGTTCTACTATGGATACGATGTCAAGCTTGTGACAATAGAAGAACCCTTTTTTGGTGCTATATAGAACCCTTTTCAAAAAGGTTCTATATAGAACTATATAAAACACTCTCCATCAATCTGAAGAACCCTCTCACAATGCAAAGAACCCTTTAATCATGCAAAGGGTTCTGAGTGTTCATGTTTCTATATAGAACCATTTTCTGTACTAAAGAACCCCTGAAGAACCATCTTTTTCAGTGTTGTAACAATAGAAGAACCCTTTTGGGTGCTATACAGAACCCTTTTTAAAAAGATTCTGTATGGAACCATATAAAACACACTCTCCATCAATCTCATGGTGCAAATAACACTTGAATCATGCAGAGGGTTCTTTGGGTGTTCATGGTTCTATATAGAACCATTTTTACTAAAGACCCCTTGAAGAACCCTCTTTTTTAAGAGTGTAGGACATATAAGTTTTTAAGCTTGGTCTCATGATACCTCTGTCCTCTCCAGCTCTTCAAACGCAACCTCTGACGCCCAGAAGTCGCCCCCCGATGAAGCAGCTCCACAGCAACAGCGAAGAGTTCCAGGACGACTTTGACTGGGACTCACTGGTGTGAATATAAGACGTTTTGACTGGTGACTCAAACACATTTCATCACTTGAATATAAACAAGGAGGAAAACCTGATACCAGAGCTGGTTTATGAGGAGTCTGGCCTCTTCTTATTTCCCCCGTTATATCAAAAACAGGACTGCTAAACAGCAGAGGGCGCCCGAGAGCGAGTCCTCAATGAATGGGAGTGAATGGAGCTCAACGGCTAAAAACGAGAAGTTAAAATAGTTTCTAATCACTGAACCAGAACTTTCCTTTAATTTTAGAAAGTAGAAGGATGGATTTCACTAAATAAACTCACCCTGTTCTGCAGCAAACAGGTTTTTGGGCAGCAGGACGCTAACATTACTGCTACTGAGTGCTGATTGGCTGGTGAGCGGAGCAGCTCATTGGCTGTTCGTGCTCACTGACGTCATAAACGTACATGAGGCGCCGTTTTAAACTCCTATAACTCGAGTTTAAAAGCTCTTAAAAATATAACAGCTGTGTTAAAATGTCTTATGCTGCTCTGTGTTCAGGAAATTAATGGATTCTTTTATATTAAAAATGTTTCAGCATTTAAAACTATGATTTTGCTAAATGCTCTATATTAACCCATTCATTTTGGACTCGCTCAGGAGCGCCCTCTAGTGTTTGAGAAAACCTGGAAGACATTGCAGAGTGGAAATTATCCTCTCTACAGGTTCTCTGACTACATCTTCAGAAAAAGCAACAACCTTTTGACTTTCCGTCCTTTGAAACTGAAGACAGTCCTCGCCGTTTGAGGACGGACAGCGTCGCTAATGCAGTGGAGGGGCTTGAAAAGCACCCTACAAGTGTGACTGTACTGAATACCTTTCATTTGGGATGAGATCAACTTAATTAATCAGCATCTATACTGTAGTTATACATTCTGTACATTAATATTTATCCATCATTTTAATGAACGGAACAGCCTGGCACTGCTCTTCATCCTCCGTGGTAGCCGGGCTGTACGGTAGGTACAGTAGAGTTGGGAACCGAGAGCCAATCGCAGCTCTCTCTGGTCCACTAATGGGACTCATACTGTACAGTTCAGAATAGTGGAGATATATTTATCAAAATAAGAGTATTTCTGTCTGGAATTATGAAGACTTTTGTAAGTTTCAAGTATGTTTATGCTATAAACTGCTAAAACTGTAGTACCACATGGTGACAAATGTAATTCACAACATTTTTCACTCACCCCAGTTGGAGTCGATCAGCCAAGACATGTTTGGTGTCTAAGGCACCAATCCCATTTCTTCTTTTTACCCCTACCCCTTGTTTTCGAGTGTCACCCTAACCCCTTGGAACTGAGTTACAGGGGTAGTGGTTGAAACCTTCCCTCTGAAATGGGACCCTCAAACAAAAACAGCATCACTTCATTAACAGCTACTAGCGCTGCTCTGTAGGCGACGCTGCCAGTCTGCAGTGACAGCAGAGGAGGGTAAAGTTCAGCTCCTCACTGCTGGGCTTTAGTTACATTTAGGGCATCATATGACTTCAAAGAGGGGGGCAATTATTTATTATCACCCACCCCTAATTCTTCAGTGATATGAAGCTGAAGTCAGATATTCTCCAGCTTCTTGTTCGAATTTTCCCGTTCCACCTTAAATGGAGCAGCAGTTACATTCTGGCGCTTCAGGCGTCAGAACTGCTGGACTATTTAAGGTGGAACGGGAAAATTAACTAGCTAGCTACCGAGACATTAGCATGCTATTAGTGATTTTTTATGCTTGTTATATAGAAAAGGACCATAATACACTGAAACGACATTAATCTAAGATAAAAATTACAATAACCACTGTATTAACAGAGAAAATTCTCACATTTGTGTGTTTCTTTGGTCTCTTGTTCTGCCATCTTGCTGGTTTTTCTTTATTTCCCATAACTCTCTGTTTGGAGTCTCTGAAAAACCTCTGTTTGGAGGGCTGTGTAGCCCCAACACTTCCCCCTACCCCTCTATCTCAACAAGAATCAGGACACCCTACCCCTAGACGTGAACGCGTAAAACAGAGGGCTCAGTGGTAGGGGCGAGGGGTGAAATGGGATTGGGCCAAAGTTTGGTGTCACTTTATTTGGATAGTCACCTATAGATTATATACAGATGTTCAAATTGTTAATAAACTATCTGTTGAAACTCAGTTGATTCTAAACAGTGGTGGGGTTAGGGCTAGGATTTGGGCCAGGGTGAGGGTGGGTCTAGGTTTTGGGTTCAGGTTAGGATTAGAGCCAGGCTTACAGTTTATTTGGGTGAATGTAGTGGATATTTAGTTGAATGTAACTTGAAAGTAAATTAGGCATCTACAAAGCATCTGAAGTGGACAATCCAAATAAGTTTTGTATCCTTTAGCGATGAAGCTAAAAAGCTAACGTTGCTAACGAACACAAAGTCAGTATATGACAGAACTTGACGAAGTGAACTTGACGAAGACCTTACAGAAACTTCTTAACTCTGAAATCTGACCTGTTTAGTCTCCATGACGACTTCAGTTGTGACTGAATTTAGGACAGTATCTATTACAGAATATCAGCTCCTAACTTCATAATCTCATCATGAACTCCAGATAAGAAAACAGCATCACACAAACATCCTAACTAGACTAAACCTCCTAAACTGTCCTAACTTTAGGATGAACCCCAACAGGGTCCTCACTTCTGTTTAAGGTCCGTTTCTATGGTTTTTAGGCAGCTGAGTCAGCAGCATAGTTCACTACCAGCATAATGAGCTCCATTTATTCCTACTGTAAAACGCTGCTTTCACTGTGAGATGATTTTCTTTTCTAACTCTGCGTTTTAAAGATCTCAGACGCTGCACACTCGATCTCCACCGCCCCTCTGATCACCTCCGTGTGTTAATGTTGATGATGAAATATTACAGTGATGGTGGTGAATAATGAGGAGACGGAGCTGAACGTGTGTCTGTTTATTAGGAGGAGTAACGTTAGCGCGCTCGGCTAAAGCGTTTGGGAAATGGAGACTGAAACCGTGGAGTGGCGACGATCGGATAAACAGCAGGGGGCGCTCTCACAGTATTCACAACTTACAGTTTATCACACTTTAGTTTTGTTTGCGCTTTTTTTTTACCTCAGTAACGGTAGCTAACGTTAGCTGTCTGGCTAACTAAATTCATTACTTTGATTACACGTTCAGGTTTCAGCTGTGCGCGTATGGTCGGTTGCTAGGTAACAGACATGCCAGTTGATTGTCGATTTCAACAGAGTAAGTTAAGATTTCCTAACCTGAGATAAGACGCTGTAAGATAAGATTTCTAAATTAAGATTTGCTTCTGTAATACGAATTTGTGAAAAATCGTATCTTGACCGGTCCAATATTAAGACAAAAAGATAGGAAGTTTCTGTGATACGGCCCCTGGATACGGTTTGAGCGGGTCTAGCAGAGTTTTGGGGACCCTATTTACCAAAAAGATTTGGGTGACTATTGACTTCTAGTGTTTCTTAGTTAGTATTAGTGTCGTAGCTGCAGCGCTAAAACAAAGAAGCAACATTTGGACACTAAGCACGTCCACATCTGGGGTGAGTGAACACTTGTGCATATTTTTGTTTCTTGTCAAACTATTCCTTTAAGAAACTTTACTACCAACAGTGGTCACTAGTGTAGGGTTTAGTCTACCAACTATGCTGTCTATCAACTAAAGCTTGCTGGCTAGTGGCTGCATCCAGACAGAAACGAGGCTGTGTATCACGGGGAAGTGTGTTCTTAGGCACGAACTAAAACTCCCTTCCCCGTGATAAAATCTCAGCAACACACGGCCTCAAGTGGCTTACTGCTTTTATAAAACGACGGCCAACATAAAATATGCTAAAATACACAAATTTCCAGAAAATAATTCAAGTTGTTATTAATAATAATCGACATAAACAAGTATTCCGCCAAGAAATGTAGTTCCTTTAGCGTGTGGCATCGTTGCCAAGCAACCACGGACCGCTGAATGAGGAGAAGAACTTCCGGTCGTCGATCACTGCGTTCATATAACGATTTTTTAAAAGTTTTTGTCGTGTAACAGTGACCATATGACATCACAGCACTGTTTAATGCAAAAACTTTCGCTTTATAAGCACTTTCGGTGACCAAATCACCACCGCGAGTCTTATTTAGCGCCGATCCAGCGGCGCCCTCTTCTCACGCTGGGGCTCGATCTCAAATCTCTTCATGCTGCCTACATTGTGCACTACGTAGGGATTTAAATACTGGATTTTGCACCCCAATGGTGCAAAATATAGCTAAGAAACAGTCATTTGGGATTCAGTCACATCCATACTTTGATAAATGATGGACTATTTGGTTGTAGAGGCTAGAACTTTTATAGCTAGCACACTCTTTAGGGAGTACGGAGCCGTTTGGGATTCAGCCTGGGTTTGGCACGACTTCTGACTGACATTTGAAGCATGAGACCAATTCAAATGTCATTTTTAGACTTTTATACTGCGGTTTTACAGCGAATCATATCGTAACTGCTTTGATTCAAGCCTGTGATATTAATGATGGAGCTGTTTAGGCTGTTTTCTATCTTTTAGCCTGTTAGCTAGCTGACCACCCTGGTTCTAGCTATGAACATAAGCTGTCCGCCCATCAGTTAAATCAGAACCGGGTTCTTACCTCATCAGTACACTCGGTGCTCCGTGCGAGCAGCAATAAAGTCAAAGATTATTCAGTTAACAGCACTAATTAATCGTGCCGTGGCGCAGTGATACAGCGTTGAGTTGTTGTGAGGCGGTCATAGCTGTGCATTTATCGTGGATCATACAACGGCTTCGAACGCGGCTCAGCCAATCAGATTTTAGTACCGGAGCTACGTTTTATAAAGAGAATATATAAACCTCAGCTACGTTCACATTACAGGCCTGCTCAGATCTGATCTCTCTGACACGATGGTTCACACTGGTTTAGATAAGTGATTCAAATCTGTCATTAATGTGACGAACCGGCGTCCTGAAATGACCCTCATGAGCTCATCCTACTCAGTAACGTAACGTGAATGAATCACGTGCATCATCAGCACAAACTAACGAGCAGAACGAGCTTCGCTGAGAAGATCATTAACTCTGATCAGCTCTCAGCTTCATTATTAGAGCGAGACGAAGGAGAAAAAGGTGAGATGAGCTGCTTTTCCACCGTTTACAGGCTTTAACTTCGGTTCGGCGCTGTTGCCATGGCAACGCTGAATGATGGCGCACGCGCAGTGGAAAAAAAAGCACATGAATTCCGATCTGAGCGTCACATTAAGGTCACATGACCACGAATCGGATACGTATTCGATCTAGGACCACATATGAAAGTGGCTCAGGTCGTATTTGAAAAGATCAGATTTGCGTCCACACAGCTCTGAAAACATCAGATCTGAGTCACATTAGGGCAAAAAATCGGATTTGTGCCACTTCAGCCTGGTAATGACTGTGTCAAAGCAGCCACAACAATGTAGAAGCATTAGACTTTCAGCCTCAGCTATTATGGCTAAACTGATCCTTTGCTTTGGCTTATAGTTCAGACAGACATTGATGAATGAGTTACACACATTTATGCTGTTTTACTGCACTTGGAATTTTTATGAATACTAACACTTTGTCGGTCAATCGCCGTGAAACAAACTGCATTGTTCCTGATGGGTGACTTGCTTCTTAACTGTACTTTGACTGAAAAATGTGTGTAAACAATGTTTTCATTATTTTTTATTATAGAATTTCCTGTGCAAATATTCATTCAGTGAACCTGTTAAAACATTTAGCCAATCCATCAACCAGTGTCTACTATCCAGTTAGAACTTGTTTGATTATTTTTTTCAATTTTACTTAAAATAAATCAAGATAAATAAAATAAACATGACCATTTTTTCTCTTCCAAAAGAGTAGTGAAATTAAATGTTTTTGCTCCACAAAGCAGCCTACAAAAAATTACACAGAAGTCGGTAGGAACTGAAACTTGGCCCTGACCTTCAGACAGTCACCGTCTGAAAGGGGAATTCCACCTATTTTTAAAAATTTCAACATAAATCATTAAAATGTAGACAGTCATTCAGAGTAGTTACTGAGATAGAAACGTTCACAGTGGTGGTGAAAGGAACCAGACATCTGAAGTGTTTAATGCCTCTGAAAAGCTCCGTCACAGATAGTTATGACATGAAATAGTCACAAATATGTTGCCTGATGCCTGAGACATTGTTTTATGGTATTTTTTGACACATGTATTTTTAAAATCCATTCATGGCGGAGGGATACATGCATGGCAGGGAAAAAAATAGTCCCCAAAGAAAACTTATTTTTAGAGTTTCCACTATTTTACCATCATGAACATTCAACATAAAGCTCAGAAGACTCATGTAGGTTCACTGGTGGTTTTGGATGGTAAATGTCTATATCTGTGTTGTAGTCATGGCGACCCCTGGTTCCTATCACCACCACTGTAAAGAAATCTGAGTCTCTACAATCAACCATTTCACATCTGAGCCACTGAATTATGCAGACCTTCTGAAAACTCAGTGGACTTCCCCTTTTTAATAAACCCTTCCAGAAACTGATGAGACAAATTCATTTTGTGATTTTTATCGTTTATTTCATAAATCTCTTTTGATTTTTTCCTCCATTTTTTTTCCAAATGCGAACGTTCACAGTCAACACCAATTTTTTTTTGAGCTCACCCGATATATAAGAGAAATATCTTCATATATAAAATAATTCATCAAAACTAAATTAAGAATAACAGCGTGAATTATGTTATTCAGTCCCCAATTATTTCATCACTGGATTTTAAATATTCGTTCAGGTCTCATGGTTTTTTTAGAAGCATTTGAAGTTCAACCGCCCATTTTTCTGAAATGTTAGAAGGGGAGAAAGAAGTGGCGGGTAGTGAAACGTGAGGACGAAATCTTGTGTCCCATGTGACAAACTAATGCTTCAAGTCACACAATAAAAACTGTAAAAGAAAATGGGAAAAAAGAAAAGGTACAACACTAAGTGCAGTTCCCATCGTTAACAAGCACTGAGAAAGTGTCACTGTAATGCAGATACAAACCCCCCCCCCAACAGATGAGGTCGTGTGTGTTAAGCACAGCGGTGGGACACGGAAAGACTGAGCACCTCCCATCTTTCTGTAGCAACTCAAAAGTGCGTTTTGTGGAAATCTGCGCCGAAACGTTGCAGCGTAACGTTCACTAAAGCAGGCGTCTCGTTCGATGGCTGTATCTCAGTGTGATTTTCCTCGGTTTATTTTGTTCCCAGGAGTCAGAAAAGAAAACTATAACAATAAATTACAAAAGAAAATTACACATTGAATTAAATTAAAAGTAATACAGCGGTTGGAAGTGGCTGAAATGCAAAGGGAGCTGTTTCTGTCTGGTCAGTGGGAGTTTGAAGCGCTCCTTCATGCACACCGCTCCTTCGAAAAAGGGGACGCTTTTTCTTCCTCTCCACTCGAGGAAGGGAGGTGATTCGATTATATCAGTTCATCATTAGTGGCTAATTTCCCTCCCCCACCTTCTCGTCATTCTCACTTTGCCTATCCTTCGATTTCGGTGCAATAATAATAATAATAATAATAGTAATTCTGACTGCATTCACTGAATGACCCTCCTCATTCATCCGACAGTCGCCTCCCCCCACCCAAAAAACGAAAGTGAAATAAATAGACCTCTGCTTCTTTCACTAATACTCATCTTCTCTGTAAAGCAAAACGAAATAAAAAAAGAAAAAAAGAGAGAGAGAGAGATGTGAAATGCTTTGTCGTGAACGAAAACATTTTTCTTTCTTTTAAATAGAGTGACGTACACACATTTTCTTTTCAACACAAACTGTGTTCTGGGGCAGGTCAAAGTGGTAAAAAGGTCAAAAGTGTGTGTGGTGGGGGGGCGTGGGAGGGGTTTGTGTGGGAGTGGTGAAATCTCTCAAAGAAGAAAAGGATTGGTGCTTGCGCCTGTAGCTCCGCCCCCTCCCACAGATCCACCGGTACCCATCACTCCGCCTACTCCTGACGGGCCGCCCAAAACCAGCGCGGGCTGGGGGGCGCCCGCCGAGCCCATCATTAGGGAGTTCCCGGCTGGGACCATGGGAGAAATCCCACTGAAAGGCATTCCCATTGGGCTGGACTGTACCATTCCCATGCCCATGCTGGGGGCCGCCATAGGCACTCCCATCGCTGGCATGGCCATCCCCGGCTGAACCATTCCCAGCGTTGGTGGAGGCATGTGGCCGAGCATTGGGTTCGGAGGGACAGGGCTAGTGCGTAGCTGGCTCAGGCCGAGCGAGGAGGGCTGAGGAGAGATGGAGGCCATCGGGGTGACGCCGAAGGGGTTAGAAGTTGGAGGTGGCGTTGGGGAGACCCCTCTGCTGGAAATGGTGCTGCCCGGAGTAACTGCCATACCTGGTGCAGGGGAGGAGCCTGAGATAACAAAGAAAGGGGAGGAGAGAGATTAGAGGAGCATTATAATTTATAATGTAGAAAAGTTAAAGGGCTAAATCTGGAAGTATATTTCAACTAAACGAAATCAAGCTACCCCCAAAGGTGAAAAGGGAACTCCACCAATTCTTCGAAATTTCTGCATAATTAAATGGTTGAGATGTAAACAGAGTCGTTCAGAGTGGTTTGGTGTGAAACGCTCTGTTCTAGAGAAACTTAGAGTCAGAACTGTTCACAGTGGGGTTGATAGGAACCAGACGTCCACCTCTAAAAATGTAACCTTTTTTGTTTTTGAAGCTGGGTAACTTTTGTTGAGATGTGCCAACCTGCCCCCGATGTGAGTACGTACCCTGCGTCTGTAGAAAAGGGTTGTGAGAAGAGGCCATGGTGGGTGGGGTCTGTTTGGGTTTAGGTTTTGATGATACTAGTGAGTCTAGATCCACCAGCGCTGCGTTGGGCCCCAGGAACGACTCCGGCGTTTTCCGAATGGGCAGGGACGTGCCGAGTGACGAGAGGTCAAACGGTACCGGAGAGCCCGTACTGCCTCCTCCACTTGTGTCGCCGCCCGCTGCCGCGGAGCCTCTCCTCTCTGGATCTCCTGGAGGAAGGGAAATGAGAAAGAATGAGCCGGAGAGAGGCACAGGGAGGAAGAGGACTCTTAATAATTAAGCAGTTGATGCCTCCCACACAGTGAGGCTCAACATGAGGAAGTGAAAAGAGGAAAACGTTTAAGCTGGATGACTGAATGATTCACTGGTTTGGATTTAGCTTCCGGGGCTACGAGGCTAATGATGCGAACAAACACTAGAACTCAATAGTCACCCAAATAGCCATTTCTGTAAAAATACATCACCAAAACTTCTCTCAGCCCGTTCAGGTTTTTATTACAGTTATGCAGACTTGATGTTTTTATGACACAAAATGACTGTAAACTATAAAAGTGAACAAAACCTCAGCCATTTCAGACATCTGGGCTGGTGTTCACAAAGCAGGACTGATCCAGGATCAGTTTCCTCTGTGTTTATCAAGTTCACGGACTCTGGATCAGCACTCGGACTCCTGAGGTGTGTTGTAAATACAGACTCTGTTGCCTGTTCACCTTTATAGCTCACAGTAAGTCACACTGTGTCCTAAACCACACTGACAAATGTGCACCACCTCAATGAACACCTGCATGCAGGTTGAGCAGGGTGACCGTAGTTTTGGTGATGCATTTCTACAGAAACTATTTGGGTGGCTTTTGACTTCTAGTGTTAGCAACGTTAGCCTTGCCTCTCCAGTTCTAAAATAAGGAAGCAAAATTTGGGCCCAATCCCATTTCTTCTTTTTTTACCCTACCCCTTGTTTTCGAGTGTCACCCTAACCCCTTGGAACTGAGTTACAGAGGGTAGTGGTTGAAATCTTGCCTCTGAAATGGGACCCTCAAATTAAAAAAAAGCAACACTGCTTCACTGACAGCTACTAGCGCTGCTCTGTAGGCGTATCAGCATGGTATTAGTGACTTTTTATGCTTGTAATGACGAAAACGACCATAATACACTGAAATGACCTTAAACTAAGATAATATAATGGCTATCGTCATTTTTAAGGAGAAAATTCTCACATTTGTGGGTTTCCTTGGTCTCTTGTTCAGCCATCTTGCTGGTTTTTCTTTTTTTCTCATAACTCTCTGTTTAGAGTCTCTGAAAAACCTCTGTTTGGAGGGCTGTGTAGCCCAAACACGTCACCCTACCCCTCTATCTCAACAAGAATCAGGACACCCTAACCCTAGACGTGAACACGCAAAACAGAGGGCTAAGGGCTCAGTGGTAGAGGCGAGGGGTGAAATGGGATTGGGTCTTGGACTCCAAACATGTCTCAGCTGATCAACTATACTGTTGGGGTAAGTGGAAAAGTGTGTAGATCTGATTTTTCACCATTCCTTCAGGTGACAAGAACATAAAGGCTGGAGCAAATCAGTATCAGCCCTGATATGTAAAATGATTAACAAAACTGACATCACATATTAATGAGGAGAGTGGAAGGGAAGCACAGAGACGGGCTCATCAGAGCGCATCTCCACGCTCTCAAGCGGTGTTTCTCAACCCAGGTCCTGCATGTTTTAGTGTTTTCTCTGATCCTAACACACCTGATCCAACTGATCAGCTCATTAACAGCCCATGATTGAGCTGAAGTGTGTGTGGTACATCAGGAAAAGCACTAACTTGTGCAGCAGAGTGGGCCTCCAGGACCAGGGCTGAGAAACACTGCTCTAAAGTGCTGCTGCTGGCTGAGCTACTCACTCACCAACATGTATGACAAAAGAGAGTTATGCTTATATCAGAGGCGCACACCTCTGTTCCTGGAGGGCCGGTGTCCAGCACAGTCTGGTGATTTCACTGCTCAAACACACCTGATTCAACTCATCTGTTAACTGCCAGGTTCAGTGGTTGTGTTTGAGTACAGGAACCACCAAACTACACTCGACACCAGGCCTTGAGGAACAGAGCTGTGCACCATTGCAAAAAATGGTATCTTGGCAAGTGAAATTATTTTTAATGTAGTAAAAATACAGGGTGATTCAAAAAGATTCATCTGATTTCAAAGCTCCATATTTTTACAACCGTGAGGCGCCTAGGAACCAATCACAATCCAATTGAAAGAGGAGGTCATCGAGTTTCTGAATGTCAGTGGAAGATGGCTCCCTTCAGTCTGAGAGGAGATGAGACCCCTGAGCAGAAAGCGTTCTGCATTCTCCACTTCAATAAGAGTGAATCCGTCATAACTGGGCAGCCTGATTTTCATGGGCAGTGAACCTCCAACAGCTCAACTGGTAACAAATTACCCCAAATTAGTCCCATCTCTGAAAGAATCAATTCCATAGATCTATAGTTTGATTTAGAGACACCATTAAAGGGCCAATATATCAGAAAAAAAATTCTCACTTTTTTGAAATGAAAGTTTGATGTGGACTGTAAACACTGTTAAAGGTTTCAAAGTTTCGTTCACTCCACAGTCCATATATCGCTGTTGTCGGAACAAAACCTCGTATCTCTAAAATGGTAACTCTACAGCAGAAGGAAAAAACCTACTTTACTTTTAATGTAAGTCAATGGAACCAGAGTTTTTTCCAAGTAATTTTTGGACGTTTCTTTTGGTTCATTTATCATGAAATTTACACACAAAGTAAAGAGCAACTGGCATTTTCAAATTATGTGAAAATAACTAAAATGGAGATACAAGTTTTTGTCCTGACAGCAGCGATATGGAAACTGAGTTTCAAAAACAGCCCATTCTGAATTCACCGTGTTTGTGAACCTCTCTAATGCTTGCTGATATGTTCAGGAACATGGAGTGCCGCATCGAACTGTGTCTGGCGGAAAACAGAGATCACTTCCAGCGTCACATGTAATGTAGTCGATTACACATACGTGAAGATATGTAGCGGATTTTTTGGTTCAGATTGTTTCATCCTAACGGGAGTTACAACAGAATATTCAGGGCCTCTTTTGAGTGAATCTCTCCGTATTATAAGTGAATTTCAACTCGACAGGTTTTCTGTCCTTTTCTAAATTCAGGAAAATGTGTTGTAGTAATTAACTCTACGCTACAGATGCAGCAGACAGAGATCAGGCTGGAAAGCAGTGAAGTATCCTTTAACAGTATGATGTCTATCTGTGTGTCCGAGCGCCGCTGAGTGTACCTGTGCCGTTAGTGTGTTTAGGGGGGCCACTCCAGGGGTCAGAGGTCAGGGCGTCAGTGGCAGGGGCCACCCCATCTCCAGCCCAGGGGTCAGACGACCCTGAGAGTGAGGTGGGGGCTGCAGCCACTGAGGGGGCCCAGGGGTCCGCACTGGGGGGGGTCACAGCTGGGGGAGGACACACGAAAGTCCAAGGGTCAGACAGTAACACACAAACACACACAGAAACAGTAAAGTCAGGGTAAAAACACGAGGCTGGAGGGTGGACGAGACTTCACTTTGGAGGTGAAGTACAGCAAAAGTATTAGGACAGTGGTTTTAACATGAATTGTCAACCATAAGAAGTTTTCAGGAACTGAATATTTTCACCACAGAAGTGCTCTGTGAGGCCTGCACTGCTGCTTCTGCTTCAACATGCAAAATTAATTTCTATTTAAGTAATTTCTTCTGTTCTGAGCGGGTCAGCATGCTCTGGGGAATAACCACTGCATTTTAGATGACTCTGCACACCGCAAAGCCAACTGTCAAGGTCATTTGTCCCCTAAAGTTGAGTGGTCATGTAACACGGTGTGCAAATGTACAAATTTCTACACAATGATTGTTGCTCAACATTTTCCAATCAAACATGTAGTTGGTTGGGTTTAAGTACTTGATGTTCACCGTACGCTCAGAGAAACATTCAATGCAAATACACGCATGTGAATGATAAAAGTGATTTAAAAATCTCTGTTCAAGTATCAAGTGAAGGTACAACTCTCAAGAACTTGACAAGACAATCCTGCTTGATACTAAGTTCTTGAACATGATACAATAATCGCCCCTTAACACTGATGCATTCTAACTCCAGTCTTTTTACAACTTCTTGACTCACCTGTGGAGGCCCAGGGGTCTGAGTTTACTCTGGAGGAGGCGGATTCACCCCATGGGTCTGGAGGCGGCGCTATCGTGGGTGGCCCCCCACCCCATGGGTCAGCACTCGGGGGAGAGGCAGGGGAAGCAGCCCCCCAGGGGTCAGTGGGGCCCCAGGGCCCGGCGGCTGGAGCAGGAGTGACGGAGGGAGGTGGAGAGGGGCCTGTGGAGCTGGGGGCCGCTGGAGCTCCCCAAGGGTCGGCTGCACTCAACTCCATTAAAGCGGACTGAGAGAGAGAGAGAGAGACATACATGCATTTATTTATTTATTTTAAATATTATTTTATTATTATGTATCTGGTTTGATTGATCAGTGCTCAATTTAGATGTTTATATAAAGGAGTTTCAAATTAGCTATAGGAGTATTAAACCCCACCAATTAGCACAGTGCAGCCGAGGGTAGCTGCATTTCTCGCCCGCTACGTCATAGCAGGCTGTTCCAAAGTGAAGGACCCTTCGTATATACCCTAGAAATGCAGCCTATGTTCGGAGTGATTTCGAGAACGCAACTGATGTGATCCTTCCAGGCCTTCAGTTACGAACAGTTCTCTGAGCACGAACGACGTGAAGAAAAAAAAACAGCACCACGAAAATGGCGGAGAGCTTGCTTTAAAATGCAAGTGGTTCACGTCCTTCAATTCGTCTTCGTTACCTTATGAAGTGTAAAATGATTTATTAAAGTATTCGTCCATATATTGTATTTTAATCAGAAGTATTTGTATAAATGTTCTTTATCATACCACATAAGCTTGTTGCCTTATTAGCTACCATAGCAACAAACACAATCCAACAGGCTCCATTTTCTCTCACCAGTGTCCTCACCAGTTACGCGCCACAACTGCAAGAGGCCGGACCTTTCTGGTGACGTCACCATGCAGCCTCATTAGGACTGTTTCATTTTTGTGACCAATAGGCTACTAAGGAGGCGTCTTCATAGGACAGTCCTACCGAGGACCTGCCCTACCGAGGCTGCAGCCCAGGCTTTGGAACGCAGCTTTTATTTAAATTGACACACTGTCCGTTTTGGGGATTTGGAGACCTCTCTGGTGGAAATGTGTAATTGCATGCAATGTGCGGAAGAACACTGTAACGTCTGATGATTGCGAGCGGGATGAAAGAGAATTCAAAGAGAACTCAGTCAAAACAAGTCATTGTGATCTGGTCGAAATAAACACCACTTTAAACGTTCAAAGCTTTAAACGTGCTGTAAAACTGTTTAAAAAGAAAAGGAAAAAATTAAGCTGTTAATCTCATCTGGAGCGGTTTTGGAGCTCAGTCGGAGGCAGTTAATATATTTTCCATATATTAACAATAACTGTTCTAGCTACAGGCCTTTGCTGATAAAACCTATTTGTATAATTACTTTATATAATTAATGCTACAAATTTTTAAAACATAAAATATGACTTGTGCAAAAGGTACGGCACGTTTTATTTTTTCCCCCCAATATGTTAAATGCAGCAAATAAATAGGAATTGAGCACTAAAGTTGCTGCATTTAAGTTTGTCTCCTGTAGAAGATGTGTTAACTTATTTACACTTAGGAATAGAACATGTATATGACCATATATGACCAGGGGTGCTGATATTTTTGCATATAACTGTGTACGCTTCAATTATTAAATTATAAAATTGGGCATCATAGAAATTCATTTTAATACAGAACTGCAACATAATCATTAAGACACTGATCAGGTGCAGCCCTAAAACACCCACCTCTTCAGGCTTGGTTTTCTCCCTCTTGCTCTCTTCGATGGCCATCTGCAGCCTCAGGTCGTCTCCCCTGCGCAGACGCTCCTCCTGCCAATCACACGCAAACCATCCCATCAGTACACGGAGCACAGCACCAGGGGCTGATGGGAAATGTGTCTCACCAGCATTTTGAGGTACGCTTCCAGCTTAGATCAGGAAATAAGTGTGATGGCCTGAGGTCACCAGGCATGCTTTTTCACTTCTATTGAAATTCAGACTTTAAGATTTTTTAATTAACAGGTTCATCTCATCATGCATAAACAAAATGCTGAATGACTGCAACTGTATCACAAAAAGCAAAGTCCTACAATGTGAACACACCTGAAAACTGCAGGTAACATTTAACCTGAAGGCTGCCTACATGGAGACTTTATAAAACATGCATAAGCATTGAATTACATATAAAAATATCACTATGTGCAATGCCAAGCGTCGGCTGCAGGGGTGTAAAGCACACTGGACTCTGGGGCAGTGGAAACCAGCGGAAACGTTCTCTGGAGTGATGAAGGACGCTTCACTATCTGCCAGTCTAATGAACAGCATACAAACATACTTTAGGCAATTATATGCTTCCAACTTTGTGGGGGCAGTTTGGGGAAGAGCCTTTCCTGTTCCAGCATGACTCAAGGCTCCATAAAGTCATGGTTTGAGGAGTTTCGTGTGGAGGAACTCCAGTGGCTTTCACAGAAGCCTGACCTCAATCCCACTGAACACCTTTAAGATGACCTGGACTGCTGACTGTGAGCCAGGCCCTCTTGTCCTCCATCAGTGTCTGGCCTCACAAATGCTCTTTAGGCAGAATGGGCACAAATTCCCACAGACACTCTCCAAAATCTTGTGGAGAGCTTCCCAGTAGAGTGGAGGCTGTTATAGCCACAAAAGACGGGGGACTACTCCATATTAATGCCCATGGTTTTGAAATGGGCACATATAGGTGTGATGGTCAGGTGCCCACACACTTACGGCCATATAGATAAAATGATGTCTGTGTTTACATGTAAAGATTTTTGCCAATCCGACTGAATACATTCCAATTACTGACTAAGACTGAGGTGTTCATTCTCACTCTACTCTACAATCTGATGGAAAATCTCCATTTACATGCTCACTACAAGTAATCAGATCCAAAATTACGCGCATACATAGAGAACCACTTAGTGTAGGCGTTACCATGACAACAAGCATCACGTGAGTCCAGTCAGAGTGAGACGAGCAGCAGTGAGCAGCGCTTGTGTTTTTAATTACTTTAAAATGATGTCAGACTCAGTAAAAACGTCCTTCACATGTCCTTATTAAAGAAGGCCGAGAGGAAGACGTCGTGTTCTGAGACACATAAGCTGGACGTCCGTCCCACCGCCGTCTTTTAAAGATCAGAACATAAACTTCGTCTCCTCTGCAGACCAGTTTCTGCTCTGCCATGTTGAACATGCTCAATCAGACTAGACTATTCCGATTGTAGTGTTTACATGGATGTGTTCTATTTCGATTGAGCTATTAGTCGGATTATGAACGGCCTATTAGGTTGCATGTAAACGTCGCCACTGATGAGACAAAATGTATGAAAATGAACACTTTAGTCTGAAGCTTTAAAATCTTTCATATAACTTATACAGAATGTTATAGACATGTTACTCAATGTTAAGCATGTATCATGAAGTCCCTATGTAGGCAAATAAAGTGTTACCATTACACAGTTACAACAGGCTAAAATACATTAAGGCTGCTGATTATCTTTAATTAAAAGGTGAATTTCATCATTCATATTACACAAAACTCAGAATGAACTGTGTCAGAATCAAAGATAAAGATCCTCCTCTCTTACAGACATGACAACACTGCTGTAGACCTTCCTGAAAAGTGATTATACACTGAAATTATGCTGGAGTGCATCGATTTTCCATTCCAGATTGATGTATTAATTAGAGATTTGAGTTTCGGCGTGTGCAGGAGAGAATGGTAATGGGAGCGGCTCCACCCCTGTGGTTTGGGTGGACCTTGACCCCTGACCTCTTGATGAGCCTCCTTGCTGATTGTGAGCGCGTAGCGGAGTTCAGCGTCCTCCAGAGGGTCAGCGCTAGTCTGGGGGAGGGGGGTGGGGGGCAAGGACAGGAGTGAATGAGTGAGTGAGCGGGGCCTTTTGCAAAAGCTTAGGCAAGTCTGAAGGGCCTTAGAGCAGCAGCTACGATCCCTAAACTAACTCAGCGACAGTTAATGTGGGTAGTAAGACAGCAGGAAAGGAAGGGAAGCTGGTTAGAAATGAGTGTTAAGAAAGGAGCTTTTTCTGAAGACGGTTGGCAGGAGGTACAGAAGAGACTGAAGCAGAGCTGTAAATGCAGAGTTATACTTTATTTTAACTACACGTGTGCGCGAGTGCTGGTTGTGCACATCCTCTGAAATTAACGTGTATGCAATTCCGACATAAACGACGGTGGCAGTGCTTCACATGTGACGCAACAGGTTATTACAGTTCAAACATTTTCATTCGTTTTTTATTTCAAATTCCTCCAGTCTGCATGCTTTGCAATGTCCATTCAAGGCACATTTTTCCAAAAAAGGTGGGACGTTGTGCAAAATGTAAATAAAAATAGAACACAATGATGTGCAAGTCATTTAAAACTCTATATTTAATTGAAATTAGCACAAAGACAACATATCAAATGTTGTTTTTTGAAAAATATATGGCTATTTTGAATTTGATGCTAACAACACAATCCAAAAGAGTTGGGACAGGGGGGCATGTTTACCACTGTGCTGCATCACCTCTTCTTTTAACAAAACTCTAAGTGTTTGGGAACTGAGGAGACCAACTGCTGCAGTTTTAGAAGTGAAATGTTTCCTGTTCTTGCTTGACATAGGATTTCAGCTGCTCATCAGTTCGGGGTCTCCTTTGTCGTATTTTTCGTTTCATACTGCCCAAATGTTTTCAGTGGTTGACGGATCTGAACTGCAGGCAGGTCAGTTTAGCACCTGGACTCTTCTATTATGGAGCCATGCTGCTGTAATTTATGCAGAATGTGGTTTATTAGACTTTATGAAGTAATCAAGGCCTTCTCTGAAAAAGACATTGTCTGGATGGCAGCATATGTTGCTCCAAAACCTGTACATATCATTCAGCACTAATGGTGCCTTTACATATGTATAAGTCACCCATGCCATGTGCACTAATCCACCCCTGTACAATCACGGATTCTGGCTTTTGAACTGTGCACTGATAACAAGTCAGACGGTCCCTCTCCTCTGTAGCCCAGAGGACACAGCATCCATGTTTTACCAAAAAAAAAAAATTACATTTTTGATTCGTCAAACCACGGGACACTTTTCCACTTTGCCTCAGTTCATCTCAAATGAGCTCTGGCCCAGAGAGGGCAGCAGTGTTTCTGGATTCTGTTTGTCTGTAGTTTCTTCTCTGCAAGGTAGAGTTTTAACTTGCATTTGTGGACACAGCGATCAACTGTGTTCACATACCGTGGTTTTCGGAAGTGTTCCTGACCCCATGCAGTAACTTCCACTAAAGAATCGTGTCTATTTTTAATGCAATGCCGTCTGAAGGCTCGAAGATCACGGCCAGCCAATTTTGGTTTTTGGCCTTGCATACAGAGATTTGGATTCTCTGAATCTTTTAATGATATTATGTACTGTAGATGATGAAATCATCTTCAAATCAAGGCACGTTATTCTTGAAAATAACTATTTGCCTGTGCAGTGTTTCACAGAGTGGTAAAACTCCCCCATCTTTACTTCCGAAAGACTCAGCCTCTCTGAGATGCTCTTTTTATACTCAATCATGTTACTGACCTGTTGCCAATTAGCCTTATTAGCTGTGAGATGTTCCACAAGGTGTTTTTTTTTAGCATTATTCAATTTTGCCAGGAAAAAAAGCAATAAGCATTTCTCAGTTTCAACATTTGATATGTTGTTTTTGTACTATTTTCAATTAAATATAGGGTTTAAATAATTTGCACATCATTTCATTCTGTTTTCATGTACATTTTAAACAGTGTCCCAACACTATTTGCGCACACACACACACGCACACACACTCTCTCTTTTTTTACTGCAGGTTTTCCCCTTTATTTTCAATTTATTATTTATTTGTTTGTGTTTTTTTGTTTTGGTTATGTGAAGGCTAGCACATATACGCTTGAAGGAGAACACTAATGGCGCTTTTCCAATGCATGGTACTGATTAAAACTCACCCCTACTCGTCTCTACTTGCTTTTGGTACCAGCTACTTTGTTTTCCACTGCAGATATAGCGCCCCGTCAATGCAGCTGTAGAAACCCATCTATTCAGCCTATGGCAGTTTAGCCCCACCCATTCACACTTAAGTTCAGCCCGGACTTCTGGATGAGGCACAGAACAGAGCAGCCAATCAGAACAGAGATCATTTATGCTACATTCACATTACAAGTCTCATTGCTCAAATCAAATTTTTTGCTCAGTCGATCTCTCTAACATGCAGGTTCACACTAGGCAGGTTCACAATAGGTAAGTGACCCGAATCAGATATGTATCCGATCTAGGACCACATGTGAAAGTGGCTCAGGCTGGATTTGAAAAGATCAGATGTGTGTCCACACAGCTCTGAAAACATCAGATCTGAGTCACATGGGGGCAAAACCTCAGATTTGTACCACTTCAACCTGATAATGTGAACGTAGCCTTACAAACATCAGTTTAACAAAACCAGCCTTTAAGAGAAGTAAAAGAGGGAAAATGGTCATATAAAAATTAATTATGATTTATGTTCTTTATAACTTCCATAAAGCTCATAAGGTACAAGAAAAACGGCTTGTGGCCCGTTTGACATATGTAACATTACGCTCCCCACCCACGTTCAAGCCAAATTCCCTCATGGTCGTCCCTAGACATGTATTTTTATTGCAAAGCCCAGCAAGAGTAGAACAAACAATTTAAGAGGCCCACATCTGACATTATCCGTGTATTTTACTATTTGCCTGAGGTCCACGTTTTACAAAGTTTGCCTGGGTTTAAAGACCATAATTCATTTTTATATGACCATTTCTTCTCTTCTCAAACTCTTTTTATATCTTCGAATCAAACAGGCTATAGTTCTTTACATGCTTTCAGAAATGGTATATGTAAACGAGCTCTGTTCTGACTGGCTGCCCTGTGTCGTACATCATTTAAAAAGCAATCCATGTTGAAACACGTAATGAATGAGCAGGGCTAAATTCAAAACAGGCCGTTTTTGCTGCTTATTTTCATGGACTGAGGAGTGAACGACATGTTTTGAAACTTTAACAATATTTACACACTACATCAAACTTTTATTTTAAAAAAGTGGGGAAAATATAGTTTTATACGATATGGGCCCTATAAGCATCTTATCCAGAGTGACTTTCCTCATGTTACAGCATTAGCAGTCTTGCCCAAGAACTCTTACTGGTACAGCATGGCGCGCTTGCCTGAGCAGTGAATTGAACCCCAGATTGCCATGGCAGATTGGACGGCAGCCAATCCACTACACTGTACAAAACCATGACAACAACAACGTCTGCCATCTGTAAAGATATACAACAAGATCTTCTGTCGCCGTGAAAGGAGTGGAGGAAGGTAATCTTGTGCCGGCCTCGTGCGGATATATTTAATCTTAAATACACAAAAAGTACGTGGACGAGTATGAAAACATTGCTGCTTGTTCAGTATCTGTGTAAACACACATACTCAGTTCAAATAAAGTATAACTCTAGCCTACGACTCACAACTAGATCTAAAAGGTCTTAAAGCTCCCTTAAAATGCCATTTGAAACCATGAAATTCAATGCTACTCGAAAGTGTACTCAGGGAACAGAGTTGTGATTCTGATCTAGGCCATTCTGGGCCAGGCAAGGCTTACAGCAGGTAAAGGGAAACAGTACTGAGGCGACATTACAGGGACATCATAGGGAAAGCAATATTTTACTTTTCACCTTCAAATGGCATTTTGGAGGGTTTAACATCTGAATTATCTGAACTGTGGAACTACTCTTTTCTCTACTCCACTTTTCTGGAGAAACAAGAGCTGAAAGGTTACAACTATTATTCCTTAACAAAAACATTACACTGTCTTACTAAAATGTGAGTAATAGAAGCAGTGAATTTCTTTAACTGTCTATATTTAACTATCTAGAAACACTTCTCATCAATATAAATCTCTTAGCCTCTTCTCTGATGGCTAGTTTTACCTGTAGGCAGAGGAGCCGCCAGCTGATCGGCTGAGTAACTTTACCTGCTCCGCCTCCTCTTTGCTCATGGCCAGTGCCAGCTGCAGCTGCAGGTCCTCCTCCCCGGAGCTCTGAGGCCACGCCTGGTCCGCCTCCGGGCCCGAGTGGATTCCTCCTAAACCAGGAGCCGAGGGAGCCGAAGACGCTGGGGGTTAAACAGCTAGGCATTATCACTTCAGAAGCATTCACTCCAAAAAGTGGACGGAGCGAAAGGTTCCTCCCGGGACTCTGAAAAAAGCCCGTTTAAGAACTAACAACTCCTTTCCACTCAGCCTGTTCAGGAGCCCATATAGTAAGAGCTCAAACAAACATGCTAACATGGTTAACAACAAATGGAAGCTAGTTGCCAACAAGAGCCATTCATAACTCTATGCAACTCGTGTCTATTCACTCTCTCTTAAACTATTAAAAATTTGTTTATAATCAGTGATCTGCATGTTCACGAGGGCATTTTAGTGACCACATCATATGCTTATCACAGCTGCTGAATTTAGATAAGAATAAATGTATTCATTTTTATTTAATTAAATTTGTATAAAATAAAGTAATATTCAGTTAAACACTTTTAATTAAAAGTAAGGAACGCAAAAGGCCGAAGCGTCTGCACTAGCAAAAAAACACTATGTTAGCCCGATTAGCTATAGCAGCCTCAACCGTTAGCTGTTAGTGCTAGATAAAAGGTTTAGACCAGCCACAATAGAGTTTTTTTGCACTGTATTTCTTTGTATCAGATAAAATAAATGTAGACTTAAAACATCAACATAGGCCACTGCTGTCCAAACCAGTTTTTTCCAAACAGGATCAGATTGTATTGTGTCAAAAGACCTGAAGGCTGAAATATTATTCACAAATGATTAGAAATAGTAAGTCAAAATTAATTTAGTATATTTATATATTAATAGTATATTTTCCAGTATATTTATATGCTGTATATTTAATTTCTTAGTCAAAAATTATTCAAAATATCAGCACATAGAATCAGAGCTTTCTGTGAGCTAGTGTGTTTCCTATCACCGTCTAAAAGATGCACATGGCTTCTTTTATTGTTAGATGTCTAATACATTAAGCATATTCCTCTCCAAACGTTCAAAAATATAATTTGTGAGACAAACTAAGCAGGAATCTAATATTTTCCAGTTGTTAGATAATGTTCTTTACATGTCAAATAAATGCAGCAACAGCATTCAGAAGCCACTTAAATGAGTGGAACAGATTAAACAGCGCAAACAGCCACGTTTTTGTTCGACCCTAAACGGTTTAATATTAACTGAACTACTGAATCTGCTCTGATTAAATGTTGGTGCTGTGAGACTCGAGTAGCTCTCAGCTGCTTTAGTTTCTCCGCCCTTCCCTGAATATTTATTGTAATGTCCATCCTTTGACATATGAATCAGGCACATTTGCTGTGGCTTGAGATGGAAAAATATTCAAATTTCAGTAAATGAAGCTGAAGGTCTAGTCAGAGAAGAAAGGCTCTTAAACTTTAGCTAACTTCGTTACCACAGTGCGGCGCATTACACTGTAATTTTACAGCACTGCTGCCACCATCAGGTGAAAGGCAAAACTGCGGGAAACTTATAACACGCTGTAAACTAGAATCTACGGGCCGATTAAAACACGCCTGTGAGCCGTATTTGGCCCAAATGCCCCAAAACAGACCACTACAAACATTTAAATTGTGATATTAGGTAAAACAAATTGACTATAGACCATTAAAGATAATATCAAATGAAAAAAACCCTTTGCCCACCAGATGAGGTCAAGGTTGAACTGTAAAAATACTGAGCGGTCCACTGCTGTGGTCTAAGCTGTAGTAGACTTACCACTGGACGTCTGTGCCATTTTCTCTTTGGTCTTGAGTGCGTGGATCCTCTCTTCTCGTAGCCTCTCCTCGTCTTTCAGAAGAGTCACCAGCTGCTTGGCTTTCTCTCGTACATTCACGCCCTGAGGATGCATTCAGATACGGTTGATAAATGGTGCGGATCTACTTTACTTATTTTTTACTTGTACTCATCTACACTACAGCCATCTCAATACAAATCAAAATCTGAATATTCATCAAATTCAAATTATAAAATGCACATTTTAATGTAGAAAATGCCCATTTGAATGATCTGTGCCATGACACAGTGACTACATCTTGATCCACTTCTGTTTTTTAAAAGCCAGGCTATCAGTAAAGAATGTGGAACAAAACGAGCCTGTAGACAAGGACGACGTCTGGATGACCCCTAAACATTGACATTTATGGCATTATACTGATGACTGATGGAATGTGGGGGAGAAAATGTGATCTCTTGATCTCTTTAATCTCTTGTGGATTAAAGAGACATAACAGTTCAAGCTAAAGCTGCATACGCTATGTAAGATTTGGGGTTTTGGAGACCTCTCTGGTGGAAATGTGTAATTGCATGCGAGAACATTTTGTAACGTGGGTTGTGCTTTGGACCCCTTTGGATCCCCAAGCGGATTAATTCTGAAAGAGAATTTAAATAGAACTCAGTCAAAACTTGTTGAAGGACATGTCGTCCAAGGATGTGAGTGAATTATCTACTACTGTCATCTGTAAAATGTTGATTTTGCATTTGAGGCGTGAACATCGAGTCTTCTTTCTAAGCCTGTTTGTGTGATGTTAATACGTAAAGATGTAAGACACGGTCCAAAAACTCCCAACACATCTGACTTTTAATGATTATTTCAGGCTTTCTGCACTTCACTTCTTCAATTCAGGTGACTTCTTTCAATTTTAACAAAATAAATCTTACATAGTGCAGCTTTAAGTAGCTTACTAGCATCTTGAAAAAGAATGTATTTAATTTTCAAATGGATCAGAGTGACAAAACAGTTTTGGCTTTGGCCCTATCGTAGGGAGATATCCAGCGATGGCATATCTGAGTCAAGGAGAGAAAACTGGGAAAGAATATATTTGAATACATAACTAACTAACAGCCCTAAATTATGCAGTCTACACCGAACAAGGTCTTGGATCTCAAAACCTCTGATATTTTAAAATTAGGTATGTTTTTTTGGTGTTCATGTGGTTTAAGGAGCCCTTTGGTGTCATTACTGCAGCTCGCTCCCGAAACCCAATCAGACAAAATTAGCAATGTGTGCTTTTATACATTTGTGCACCAGAGAAAGAGAAAAAAAAACTGTCAAAGAAAGGATAAACCAATTCCACATGCAGAAATGTCCTTGCAGCTACAGCTACACATCCTTTCAGACCCACAGCGATGAGTCGTCTTCTCACAGTGGAAGGATGGACAGAAACACCTGTGGATGTTTTCAGATCTGAAGCAACTTGACTTTCTCCTCTCTCTCAAAGATGCTGTGCTGTTTATCTGATGGGGGCAGTTTTGGTGCCTACCGGGTCTTCCAGGTGGTTGTTAAGAGTCACATTTTCTCTGCAGCTTCTAACCCCCTTTTCATCCATTCATTGTTTAACATCTCTAAATAAATGACTGAAATTTTTTATTAATTTACAATATTAAAGTAAATAAATGAAGTACCTGACATACACAACTTTAATTAGAATCATTTTCTGGAAGTTTGAATATGCTGGGGTTAAACTGGCCCCAGGGATAAAGCTGCCTGTGAATTTGAAGATAACAAGACAGTTAATCATTTTTGAACTCCAGCTTTGAAAACGCCTCTTTTTTCACAGGAATGAATCAAACTGCTAACAGAGAACAAGTCCACACCCTCACCACTTAAACCTAGCCTGTGAACTGTAAACACTGCCGTCCAATGAAATTTACTGTTGGTAAAAATAAACAACACAATGACATTTTTTCCATATCACGTCATATGAAACATGCACGCTACACTGCATTTCAGTAAACATATATGGTTAGCGTATCGTAATACTAGCCTTGATGTTACTATATCAACAGCTGAAATCTCTTAATGGACTTTGTTATGTACAATAACCGGGCCGGTCCCCGATTTGTGCCAACTCCCGTGCAATAAAAGAGAAAAAAAAAAAACGTACTGTCCTCAAGTTTCACTGCATTCACAATTAATATGATACGATCAGGCTGTCACACCGTCATATCGATCACGTACAGTACAGCACATCAGTAAACTCGTACTGTCATCTCACAACAACTTGAACAACTGAGATATTTTAACAGTAGTCTTGATGGTCCTCCAGTAATAGTTTAAATCTTTAAATGAACTTTGTCTTTATTAAATCTCTAGACCAGTAATATTCCTCCTCTTCAACCCGGATATTGTGCCCTACAGTTCTGCTCCCTTTGGTTTTATGTTCGGAAGCAAAGGTCAGATAAATTACACAGCTGGAAGTCCTTCAAAGTACAGCATTGTATATAAGCATGAGTGTGTTTGCATTAGCTAAAAGGGAAGAACGGGCAGTTGTGGCTGATTGCGTAACCCTAAACACTGAAAGAGTTTGAAGAGTGGGCAGGAGCACAGCGTGTGAACCTGAGTGGGAGTTTTTATTCGGCTCAGTTTTTCCTCTTCATACTATAAAGACCTTGAGTGAATATATGTGAATGGAGACAACATGAGTTTAACTACACAGTTCTTCAATTTCTTTACTGATGTAAATAAAACATAAGATTCACAGACTGTGGCTAACATGCTCTTATCTAATGTTCATTTAAAAGGGACAGATACACGAGCAGTGAATATTACAAAGGATGATCTGACAGCTTATAACATTTATAGCTGTACGGCATATCTACACACTACATCTATTACAGCTATACACCATATCTGTTATAGCTACACAGCATATCTATACATTATATCTATTACAGCTACGCACCATATATATTACAGCTACACAGCAAATGTATACACTATATCTTTTACAGCTACATACCATATCTACTACAGCTTTATGACACATCCATACACTATATCTATGACAGCTGTACACCATATCTATAGATCTATTATAGCTATACACCATATCTATACACTACATCTCTTACAGCTACACACCATATCTAATATAGCTTTATGGCATATACTATAGATCCAGTATAGATACTATAGATACACCATAACTACACATGACGTCTCTTACAGCTATATACTACATCTATTACAGCTATACACCATAACTACATACTACATCTCTTACAGCTATACACCATATTTATACACTTCATCTATACCATTATAAGCCATACACCATATGTATACACTCCATCTCTTACAGCTATACACAATTTCTATACATACACTAAATTTTATATATATATATATATACACATACACACACACCAATAACTATTATAGCTATATGCCATATCTATTACACACCATATATACGCTATATCTATTACAGCTATGCATCATATCCATATGCTATGTCTATTACAGCTGCCACATCTATACACACATCTATACACCAAATCTGTTATAGCTACATGCTATGTTTTTTCACATATCTCAACATATGTCTGTTATGGAGCTGTAACAACAATATAAAACACAGTCAACTGGTCATTCTGCACAGTTTAGATGATCCACACCGCCATTGTGACAGACTGTAATACACTACAAGAAAGTAGGGGGCAATCTGGCTTCTACTGTTTCATTACACCTTAAAAGAAAACTTGTGCGATTAGCTATTTCACTGAACAATGACTGAAACATTAATCAACACTAAAAATAATGGTTAGCTGCAGCCCTACTGAGTGTGTGTTGATGTTACCTGGTCTTTGCCATCTCTGTCTATATACTGGAAGTCTTTGAGTGTCTGGACAGCATAGATGTTTTCCCTGCACTGCTGTGCCACTCTTTCTGAACCCGTCTTGATCAGATACTCCATAAGAGTCATAGCCTGAAACCACAGAGACACGGATAAGAACGGTGAGTGATGCGTCATAGGCACTTAAAACAAAACCAATGTGCAAACTGGTTCATGCCTTCACACAAACCACGGCATCTGCAGTGAGCAATACGGCAAAAACATAACATCACAATACTCGTAGAATTCTTTACGACGCACAATATACATCAAGATATTCAGTTTTTCTGAAGTTGGAATGGGCCCAATGCACCGGCATTGTTAGGGAATCATAGGTGGTTGCTAAGGAGTTGCTAGGCTGTTGCCATGGTAACCTAGGTCATTGCTAAAATGTTTCTAGGCATGTGCCATGTTATTCCAGGTGGTTCTTAAGGTGTTGCCAGGCTGCTACTATGGGATCATAGGTTGTTTCTAAGGTGTTGCTAGGCAGCTACTATGGTTACCTAGGTCATTGCTAAGATGTTTCTAGGCATGTGCCATGTTATTCCAGGTGGTTGCTAAGGTCTTGCCAGGCTGCTGCTATGGGGTCCTAGGTAGTTTCTAAGGTGTTGCTAAGCTGTTGCCAAGGTAACCTAGGTCATTGCTAAGATCTTGCTAGGCATTTGCCATGTTATTCCAGGTGGTTGCTAAGGTGTTGCCAGGCTACTGCTTTGGGATCCTAGGTAGTTTCTAAGGTGTTGCTAAGCTGTTGCCAAGGTAACCTAGGTCATTGTTAAGATCTTGCTAGGCATTTGCCATGTTATTCCAGGTGGTTGCTAAGGTGATGCTAGGGCACTGCTAAAATATATTTGCTAATGTGTGTGTGCATACATGCGTGAGGGACGTCCTTTGTGACATCACTTGTGGGAGATGTAAATTTTCTCAACTTTCCACCATTCATGTCCAGTGGGGAACATAAGTGTGCTTAAACAAATCGGCGTACAGAAGTACTGACCATACCCATCTTATACTCAGAAAAGCGCAGTGTTAATGATAACATATCGTCATCTTGACCACCATACTTGGCAGCTTATTTATGGTTCATTTGCGGTGCTGACCTTATACACGTGCCTCCAGTTCTTGCCATGGTCATTGAGTCTTTTCCACACCATGCTCATGATCTCTGAGAAGGCCACTACGTTATACGTCAGGTCCGCAATCTCTGACATCAGAGAACTGGAGGGACCCCAGGGGTCATTGGAGGTTGCTTCCCTGACCTGAAGAAGGATTCCAAAGGAAATTTGATGACATTCAGTTTCTCTTTCTCCAAACTTGCTCTAAGCTAAATCAATTTTTCATTAAAAGTCATTAAACATTAAAAAAAAAAATCAATATACAGGAAAAGAAAAGAAGGGCTTGGCTTTTCTGAAGTGCTAAAACTCAGGGAAAAACTATTCCTGGCAGTCAGCCAGCAACATGCAACTTACAGGAAAAAAAAGATGAACTATTAGACGACTTTCAAGTGGCAATAAATATAGATCAGAAAAACAGAAGTGATACCGCAGCGGAAAGTCTGCACAGACTCAAACAAAATCAAATCATGAGGTACGAGTTCTCTAATGGACAGCAGCCTTTTAAATTCAGATCTTGCTTCCCAATCATGTTTAAATACAACTAATTCATGCATCCAACAAGAGTCAAACGAATTTATAAGAAGAGTTACTTGTATAAATAAACAAATTTTAAAAATAAAGGCTTAAATGAGCTGAACTTTAAGGAACAAATGAAGCAAAAAGGAAGCGAATGTCTTGCACTGGGGGGTGTAGGAGTGAAACAAAGCAGCCTTTCACCTTTATCTCTGCCTCCGAGTAATTGTGAACAATGTTCTTCACTTGTCGTCTTAGCGATGAGGTCGACATGGCAACAGGGTGGCTATCACGTTCCTGTGAAATCTGGGAGATTGTAAAACAAGGTCAATAAAACACTAATACAAGTGTGGGACAAAAGGGCACAGTCAGCTAATACACACACACTCATGCACGCAACAAGACACACTTACTGAAGACATTATATTCCCAATAGAATATGCCAGTAAATGAATCAGAGAGCGGTGCATGCATATCAATGGCGTTTCTACACCGCAATTCATTTCTTACAGTTGTATGCAAATGTTTGAACATCCCTGGTCAAATTACATGTGAATTGTCCTAATATTTATAATTATAAATTATAATTTATATTTATAATTTATTTAAATTATAATTTATAATTTATGGTGTGTAATTAAACAGGCTGTTTTGTATTATTATCTGTGCCTTTAAGACTGATTTATGTAAACGAGCTCTGTTCTGATTGGCTGCCCTGTATTGTGTCTCCTTAAAAAAAGCAGGCCAGGCTGAAAAACTCCTTATAACTTTAGCATAAATGGGCAGAGCCAAACTGTTGTAGGCTGAATATGTGGACAACAGTAGTGCACAATTTCTATTTATTTGCTAGGTTGAATATACTGGAAAAAAAATATTGTTTGCACAGGATACTCTATGTTTTTTTTTTTAATCCAGCAAATAAACAGTAATTGTGCATCAATTTGTGCTGAAGTGTGTTCTCTGTAGAGGATGTGTTCACTTCACAGCTTTTACTCAAAAAAAATCAACAAAGCATGGAATTTGACCAGGGGGAACCAAACTTTTGCATACTGCAAACTTTTTTCGGACTGTATTGTTAGTTTTAAGCCTTTAAATATACAGTTAAACTACATTTACATCTAGGGCATTTTGGCAGACACTCTAATCCAAAACAACTTACAATTTGATCATTTAACACAGGTAGATGAAGGTAGCATTAGGAGTCTTGCCCAAGGACTCTTATTGGTATAGTGTAGGGTGCTTACCCAGGCAGGGATTGAACCCCAGTCTGCAGCGTAGAAGGCAGAGGTGTGACCCACTACACCACACCAACCACTAGACCTCCAGCTTAAAGCCATTTAGTTTTAAAGCAATACACGGTCAGAAAAACGGCACTGTCCAGGTACAAACAATGTAAATGCACCATAAAAGATGAAACACGCTCATTAAGGTCCAATTATGTGTCTTGCATGAGTTTTAAAGTTAGACTACATTGACTTTCACATGGAAATGGGGCATGTTTGTACCGTTTCATAACTTTCATATTTAGAGAAAAATTAAAATAAACAGTCTGGAGTCAGAACAGGGAGTATAGACTCAATGCGACTTAAAATATGGTACAATTATAGTAAAAGTACTGAAAACGTGAAAGGTACAGCTGTTGTCTGAGAATGTGGTTTGGCTTTGGTCTGGTAATTTGTTTATGCACATTTTATTGATTTATAATCTAAACATAATTTTCCCATCACCCAAAACGCAGCCAATCAGCCTGCATGCCTAAAATCAGTCACACACTTGTAAAGTAAACTTAAATAGACTTGGTTACGAGGTTTCGGACACTTATCAATGAAAATAGACCAAAATATGTCAGTGTTTCTTCACACTTAGGCTACACTGATGGCAACCGCAGTGTGTTTTCTCCCCTTTTACCAATTTCCAAAATATTTGATATTGTTATGAATAAACAAGAGCCCACATTCTGTAATATGAGACACACGATCAGCTGCTTGTGTTCCAAAATAAGAAACCTTGAGAACTAACAAAAACAATTTGTCTCTTGGTCATATAACGTCTGTGAGAAAGATTACAGACTCACAAAAAGTTCCAAAATCAAGAGTGAAAAACGTATTGAGGTCTTGGAGGAAGACGGGAAGTGTTCTACAAATGAGGGTCGTTTATGCAAACTCATGCACTCCATGCCTAGAAAACTTCAAACTGTCATCCAAATGAATGGATATGGAATAAAATAGTAACTTTAATACCGACTTACATAAAGGAAAGAGACACTAATGCTTGTCCTAAAAGTCTGTCACTAAAGTTGCTGTACTTTTACTGCCTTTCTTAAGACTTCAGTTAATGATAGAGATCATTTTGAGTTTTAGTCAGTGAACCTGGTTGTTACTGGTGGTTGTGATAACTGTAGAAATTAATAAATTATAAATTTATCTTGGAAAGTAGTAAATAAACAGGATACACAAACACACACACAGTAATAGACTACGCACACACACACACACACATCACACATACATACATACACACACACAGTAATAGACTACGCGCACACACACACACATCACACATACATACATACATACACACACACATATATATATATATATATATATATATATATATATATATATACACACACACACATATACATATATGCCGCATTTTTCTCCATTTTCAGTTTTTTACATTATTTGAAAATACCTGTTGTCCTTTCCACTATAAGTAAATTTCATGATGAATGGACTAAAAGAAATGACCTAAAATGACTTGGAAAAAAGTCTGGTTCCATTGACTTACATTAAAAGTAGAGTATGTTTTTTCCTTCTCCTGTAAAGTTACCATTTTGGAGACACAAGCTTTTCTTTTGACAACAGCGATAAATATATATTTTGTACTGGCTGCGTTTTAGAGTTCTGTTCAAAATGAGCTAGAATTGTCACTATTTTGTCATTTGCTGATGTTCTGGTAGTGTTATGATTTTTTTGGTATTTAAATCATCTGTTTTAATAAAATAAACATAATTCAGTTATAGGTTTATGCAAAGCAAAAAAAATTCAGTCCAAGTCAGTTGAAATGTGTTTTTTTAACTCTGACTGTGAACCAATTTGGTACAATGATCTATACAATTTAGGTTTATTAGGTTTATTTCAGACCTGTGAGAAACACCGCATCACATATCTAAAATACTTTTGTCCATTTATATAGATGGCAGTGTGTCATACGGTGTCGGAAACCACATAATCAGGTCTATTAGAGATACTGAGCAACACTTTGTTTGATGCAAGTATATGATTATTTTTAGGCATGCAGTTAGCACCATGCTAATTAGAAGCTTACATTACTTGTTGGCTAATGTAGCTAACACTAAGGAAGCAAGCCTCTGGAGTAAATATGGGAGGCAAATCCAGCCAGTTCAGTTTCACCAGATCTGAGACATGACGGTGGTTTTTCTCGAGACTCGAAGTCGTTTAGCTTGAGGAATGATGCCGTTCTGACTCGGAGGTCTGAGGATGTCTTAAAATGTACCCCGTAGCCCCGCCTAGTGCTAATTAAAATATATTTGCATGTTGGTCAGTTTGAGAACGAAATCGAAAAGGGGAAAATGTAAAGTGAATCTCCAGCAGGTGGCGCTGATGTTCGTTTGCATTTGCCTTTTCATTCTGACACTTAAAGCGCGTTGACGCCGAAAACTGAATCACAAACTGTCACTTTGCTGTTGATTTATCAGTTTTCATTTTCATTTTCATGTAGTCAGATCTGCAGCCGATTGCTGTGAAAAAGAAATAAGAACGTGAACACTGCATTCTGATTTTAGTTTTGACACATATTCTGCACTTCTTGAAGAAAAGCCAAAGCCAAAATGAAGCTCTATTAGCTTTTCCATTTTAGATTTGGCCATGAAATACCAGAATAAAGACTAAAATGAAATGACAAACAGCTGTTTTACTTTTTTTTTTATTTTTGTCACAAATGGCTTGTGCTCATGTGAAAAAATGAAATTGCAAATGTAGGCATTTCATTTCATTTTCAATTTTGGCAGGATATTTGCGCAGATGTTTGGAAAAAGAAGTGGCAAAAAGAGGTTTGCATTTACATTTTATTGTTTTAATTTTAATTTCTTTTTTGGCTGGATTTGCCTCCCATAAAGTAAAAGGGAAAGCACTGTGTGAATGAGATCTACTGAGTTACCCTCTAAGAGTCAGTACAGACAACAGCACTAAGGACAAACTAAGCGCTTCTCAGGAAACAGAGGACATTCTGCTATCCATCAACCAGAAGTCTAAACAATTTCATAAAGTGGACGTTAAGCTGCTGCATTATCACTGCACAATTAATGAATTAATCTACGCTGCAGTCTTGGCCTCTGCAGTGAGTTAAGTGAGAAAGGCAGGAATTAACACAGCCACTGCCTCACAATCGCAACTGTAATCAACAGCAGCGCTGATCGAAGGGGTAATGAATCAAGGGAACCGTGTTGTGTCGTGACCAATCACAGATGTTTCTGCTGAATGTCCCAGCAAATCACAGGTGGTTCCACAGCCCACAGATTCAGCTGTAATGACTCACTAAGTAACCATAATTATAATCTGCATCTGGTTCACTATTCATATTTTGAAGCACTTAAAGGGCCCAAATCATAGAAAACTATTTTTTTTTGTTCTCCCCGTGTCTGTGTGGTTTTCTCTGGTGCTCCAGTTTCCTCCCACAGTCTAAAGACATGCGGTCAGGCCAATTTGACGTGCTAAATTACCTCTAAATGCGTGTGTGTGCGAATGCATATGTCTGTCTGTCTGCCCTGCAATGGACTGGCGACCTGTCCAGGGTGTTTCCTGCCTTCCGCCCAATGACGGACCCTGCAACCCAGAAGGATAAGCGGCTTAGAAAATGTGTGTGTGTGTGTTTGTGTGTGAAATGAAGACGTTAGATGTAACCAATGTGAAAGTTTCAGCCCATACAATTCATTCCCCAGTAAATATACGGAAACTATGCTTCAAAAACAGCTCTGAATTCACTGTTTCTGAACCAACACATTCACATATATCCACCTATTAGCCTACAGCAGTTTAGCCCCACCCACCGAGACTGAAGTTATAAGGAGTGTTTCAGCCCTGAGTGCGTCTTAAATGAGGTACAATCGGAACAGAGGCCATTTACATACCCCGGTCTTAAGCTGGGCCTACTCTACACGATTTTTTGCCCAATTTTAACTCTGATTTGCGACGAATTTTCACAGGTCGTGAGCTTGATCGGAAGTGACTGACGGCATGGATGATTTGTTCGTGTGAGAAGAGAAAGGAGTGAATCTTTAGCCCTCCGATCGAGCTCTGAAGTGATCAGAGACCCTCCGATATTATCAAATACGTTTGATATTTACGACTCAAAACGTTCGCGAGTCCTGCAGTGTGAGACGTTCACAGATTTACTCAAGCAATTCAAACAGCCAATCAGAGAGCTAGAAGAGAGCTCTCTTTACAGTTTCAGCTCAGCTGCCAGTTTGTAGTGAAATATTTCTCCAGCTCCCACTGTGATATGAGCATTTTTCAACCCCATAATAATCCCCAGTTTGCGCTTTTGCTGCGGATAAAAGCACAAACAGCTCCAGTAAGTTCGGCTTTCTTCGTGTCTTGTAATATCTGAGGAGATCTGGGAGTTTGAGTTCTTATTCGTAGCCCAAACCCGTTATGTGTGTTATACTCTCTGCTCGCCTTGTCGTCTAGTCTGAGCGCCCTCATGATAAAAAGACAAGAAATTCTGGGACAAACTGATAATAAGTTTGTGATGCTCTCCGTTTTGGAAATCTGTCGAGATTTTAAAAGTCGTGTGGTGTCCGCCTAGCCATAAAGGCACGGACACACGCACACACACACACACACATAATCTATACCGCTTATCATGAAGGCACAGTAACAGCATATTTAATTATAGGAAAAAACATTATATGTGGATCTCATATGAAAAATGTAGTATATGGGCCCTTTCAATAAACAACTCAGCATCCAGTCCTAGAAATAAAAGCATGCTAATCTGACAGGATATAAGCAGTAATGTGTTAATAATAGATGTGAAGGGGCTCCTTATAAGCTGAGTTGACTAAGCCAGTGAATGTACTAATGCAGAGACTCTAGAGATTCTTTAATGAGAACCTGATATATATATATTTCTTTCTACACTCGCTAACTGGCTCTCCCTCCATCACACGGTGCTACCGAGCCTTTTCAAACTGCCACTAGCATGACGTCACTGGAGCTCAACATGTTTAGAAGGAAAAGCTTACTGCTAACAGACACTCGCACTGGCCAGCATCACACTGAGTGATGGGAGGGAGAATGAGGACCAGCCTCCCCATCCAGAGAGAGTGTGAGAGAGTGAGGACAGCTGTCGCTCTCTTGGACTCTCGGACATGGACGAACATGGAGGTTTCTACTCAAGGTTTCTAATCTGATTTCTAATCAACTACTATGATGTTTCTCAGTGTTTAAACATGGGCTTATATCTGAAAACCACTTGTAAATAATTACATTTAAATCATTTTTTGACGTAGTATGTAAACACAAATTTTCAAAACATACAGCCTGCACAGCCCACATGTGGAAACTAAGGTTCTGCTTTGAATTCATTGGGTGTGTTTACATGCACTTAACAATCCGATAACTGCAGAAAATCAGATGTTGTCACTAATCCGATCAATGTATTTACATGCACTCGAGTAATCAGATAATGGGGTCTACATGAGCCGGACAGTAATCTGATTTATGCTTTGCAACCAGCCAATAAACTCACAGAAAAAGACATGACGTAAACGTTATTTCCGGCACCGCAGTCTGTTTTCACACATGCGCAGACTGAGAAATCTGAAAGAAATCAGAGTAAGAGTTCACATGCACTGAGAAATCTGATTACTGAGCTAAAATCCAGCCTCTTATCGGATTCTAGACTTTACTGCTATCTAAGAAATCAGAGTGTGCTGTTTACACGACCATTTGAATAATCAGGTAACTGCAGAAATCTGATTATGATAACCGATTATTAAGCGCATGTAAATGCACGCAATGTTTTTGTGATGTCACAAAAACACGACACATTTACATTTATTCGCGTTTAGCTCCGTCCATTCACAATTATGTCATAAAGAGTGTTTCAGTCCAGACCACTTTTTGGGCAGCCAGTCAGATGAGAGCTCATTTGCATATATCAGTCTTAAAGGCACAGTAACAAAAATAGCCTGTTTAATTCTAAGGGACAAACAGTGTTTGAAAATGTTTAAGTACACATTAGTTGGAGCTATTTTTATATTTTTATATAAAACTACCCAAAAGTGGACCTCAGGGAAAAAAAATAGAATACAAGAAAAATGTAAGACATAAGCTCTTTAAAGATGCACGAAAACAACCAATCCTTAATTGATACTTTGCATCAGAGCTGAGTGACATGGACTCTTATCACAGTTATGTTTAGAAATTGGCCTTAAACACCCACAGAAACACTGGAACGTCTGTGATTGGTCAGGAAACTCATAGCAAGTATGAAGTCATATTGCTGATATTCTGCAAAAATCAGTATTTAAAAATAAAAGTATATATTACGTAGCCCTACTTAACTATTATAATGTTCTAGAACAATTCTACTGGTTCATCTTTACCTGGACGCGTCTCTCTCTCTCTCTGTCTCTCTCTCTCTCTCTCTCTCTGTGTGTGGGTGCTCAGATCAGTCTTTAGCCTGTCCGCTGCTCCAAACCTCCGCACGGCCACATCAGGGCCCACACGAGCCGGGGAGAATCAAAAACTGTGGAGAAACACAGGAAATAGAAGGAGTGTTAGAGAGCGAAGAGGCCACGATGAAAATGAAAACACACAGGAAATAAAAGTTGGCGGCTTGTCTGGCTGCGAATACAGCCGCAGGGGGAGGAATTCAACTGTCTCACTACAATAGAAGGGCAATGAAACTGTGCCTGAGGGCAGCATAGGGCATGATGTTTATACACTGATGCTATATTCTGTTTAACGCTTTGCTGTGTGTGGGTGTGTGACATGCCGATCATGACCACAGAACGGTTTCAGAAGTTCATTTACTTTAACTTTTTATTGCACAATAATAGCAATTATATTATTTATTAATGGCCCAAGATGATTGTGTTATTATAGTAGGGCTATCAAAATAAAATGACACTGAATCCAATGAAGAAGTTTCAATTTTTCATTCAAATATATCTGCATAATTAAATCAGTACAATGTAAACAAAGTCATTCAGAGTGGTTTGGTGTGAAACGCTCCGTTATAGAGCAACGTCACCACAGTGGTGGTGATAGGAACCAGACGTCCACCTCTAAAAGCTCCCTCACAGAAGGTTATTACGTATAATGGTTACAAATATAATGTCTTATGTCTGACATGTTGCATTACAGTTGTTTTGAGATACGCTTTCGAGCTTAAACGTATAGTCCATTCAATTCAGAGGAACATTTAGGGTGTTGTAAGGCAAAATAGTCATCAAACAAAACTTTCTTCAGATTTACCACTATTGTGCCATCAGCCACAACACACAGAAAAACTCATGTAGGTTCACTGGTGGTTTTGGATGGCTATACTCACAACCACCGGTTCCCATTAACGCCACAGTAAAGAAATCTGAGTCTCTTCAATGAACCATTTAACATTAAAACACTCTCAATGACTTTGTTCAAATCTTAACCACCAAATTTTGCAGACAACTAACAAAAGGAGGTAAGAACATGTCATTGCAGACCATAAACAAATAATACAACAGTTTATTTTGTCTTTAAGTAGAACTGTATGTGGTTTTACATACATAAACCTACAAAAATATGTATACTTAATCATCAAAAATGGCTTTATCTATATAAATAAAACTTGTGTGCATAAATGTATATATATTGTAATTATACCGTGATATCAATTTTTTGCCACATTGTCCTTTTGCTTTATTACCAACGCAAGGAAGTCAAGCCATCCGTATAAAGTGCACTGCTGTGGAAGAATCCGCCAACGCAACAAACCTTGTATCGTGATGCGTACAGTGTTGTGTGGTTACAGTGAATATCCAGCCCTACTGCCCCAGAGGTGCCATGTTAGAAATAAAGGGTCTGTGCAGGTACATTTTTCGTTCCCTTTAAGGTACAACAGTGGTTTTAAGGTCTGATTGTGAACCTTAAGTAAGTTTTTCCAGGTGAAAAGTACAAATTTGCACATTTTCATAACCGAATGTTTTAAAACAGAACAATAAAATAAAAAGCCTGGAGACGAGACGGGGTGTGTGGAGTCAGTACAGCTTAGAGAATACTCCGATCAGGCATAACATCATGACCACCTCCTTGTTTCTACACTCACTGTCCATTTTATCAGCTCCACTTACTATATAGGTGCACTTTGTAGTTCTACAGTTACAGACTGTAGTCCATCTGTTTCTCTGATACTTTCTTAGCCCCCTTTTACCCTGTTCTTCAGTGGTCAGGACCCCCATGGACCCTCACAGAGCAGGTTCTATTTGGGTGGTGGGTCATTCTCAGCACTGCAGTAACACTGATGAGTTTTTAAACACCTCAGTGTCACTGCTGGACTGAGAATAGTCCACCAACCAAAAATATCCAGCCAACAGCGTCCTGTGGGCAGCGTCCTGTGACCACTGATGAAGGACTAGAGGATGACCAACACAAACTGTGCAGCAGCAGATGAGCTATCGTCTCTGACTTTACATCTACAAGGTGGACTGATGAGGTAGGAGTGTCTAATAGAGTGGACAGTGAGTGGACACAGTGTTTAAAAATTCCAGCAGCACTGCTGTGTCTGAGCCACTCAGACCAGCACAACACACACTAACACACCACCACCACATTAGTGTTACTGCAGTGCTGAGAATGACCCACCACCCAAATAGTACCTGCTCTGTGAGGGTCCATGGGGGTCCTGACCACTGAAGAACAGGGTAAAAGGGGGCTAACAAAGTATGCAGAGAAACAGATGGACTACAGTCTGTAACTGCAGAACTACAAAGTGCACCTATATAGTAAGTGGAGCTGATAAAATGGACAATGAGCGCAGAAACAAGGTGGTGGTCAGAATGTTATGCCTGATCAGTGTATAATTTCAGTGGATTATGGTACAGTTATGTTCCCTGACTACAGGTACTGACACCTACCCTTGAGGGTCCCACCACAGTTACAAGAGGGGCACTGCCCCAGTGACAGTTCACTACCTTTATTTCTGAGAGTTCCTGCACAGAACCTTTATTTCACACAGTGTAGTTACTGAATGATAAGAATATAAAAAGTCTGGCATTTTAAGGGGTTAAACTAACGTAAATGAGGGTTTCTGATTCCACTGCATACAAACAATGAGAGTAGAAATGTGTCAACAGAAATGTGGTAGCAAATCAGTGTTTACTTCCTGTGGATTCTGAGAGGAACTACGTCACCCTCAACTCTCTCATTCAGAAGTACAGGAAATCAAGTGACGGGGGGCTTTTTTGCATAAGGCTTCTCAGAATAAGAGCACTTCAGCAGTTACAACTGCATAAAAGGGGAAATGAAAGTCAAATACTGACCCAAGATCTAAAGTATAAAGTATGAAGTATAAATATGATCCCAGGTTCTTCAACTGGTGTTCAGAGAAACTCAGTCTCCTATACTTTAAAGCAGAATTTGACTGATTTCTCAAAATGTCTGCACAATTAAACAGTTAAGATGTAAACAAAGTTTTTCAGCGTGGTGCGCGGTGAAACGTCCTGTTCTGATTTATTCACAGTGGTGGTGACAGGAACCAGACGCACTGAAGAGTTCAATGCCCCTGAAAGTTGTCTGGTCGCAAATGCCCGAGACATTGTTTTAAGACAGTTCTGAGATGGTTTTGGCCTAAAACGGGAAAATAGTCCCTAAAGAAAACTTTTTTTGATATTTATCACTATTTTACCATCATCAACATTACATACAAACCTCAGAAGACACGAGTAGGTTCACTGGTTGCTTTTGTTAGTACTATATTTTGTGTTGTAGACATGATGACGCCTGGTTCCTATCACCACCACTGAAAAGAATCTCAACGATTTAATTATGCACCTTTTTTTCTGTGGAATCTCCCATTAACAAGGGTCGTGGCCTCAGTGGCTGTCAAACAGTAATAACCTGCTTATTAATAAGATGACCTTAACATAGCATGACAGGGGAATACCACCAATTTTTCAAAATTTCTGACTAATTCAGTCATTAAGACGTTAACACATGAATAACTTCTGTTTCTTTCAGGCTTGATTAAAGGGGAACTGCACCGATTTTCCAAAATGCCTGCCTAATTCAGTGTTTAAGATGTAAACAGAGTGATTCAGAGTGGTTTGGTGTGAAATGGTTCAGATGTCTTTACAGTGGTGGTGATAGGAACCAGAGGTCACCATGACTACAACACAAATATAGACATTTTATTTACTATCCATATATTATTTACCACCAGTGAACCTACACGTCTTCTAAGTTGTATACGGTGTGCTGATTTTGATGAAACATAAAATAAAAAAACAATAAGTTTTCTTTGGAGACTATTTTTTCCTCATAAATGCCCTGCATGTACCCCTCTGCCATAAAATAAATGGATTAAAATACAAAAACTCCATCACAAAACTATCATAAAACAGTGTCTCAGGCATCAGGCAGTGAATTCATAACCATTTCACGATATAACTTTCTGTGAGGGAGCTTTTAGAGGTGGACATCTGGTTTCTATCACCACCAGCATTTCACACCAAACCACTCTGAATGACTTTGTTCACATCTGAACCATGAAATTAGAAAAATCAGTGGAGTTCCCCTTTTAATATCACAGGACAACACACTGTATATATATAGATGGAAAGACTG